AATAGCTGTGCAAGGTGAAAATCCACTTTTCCCTGTTTCCAGGCACATGTTTTTTTCATGGATATTGATAATAATATATATTTACATTTTTGTTATTCAAATTCTATTTATATTGTCTTTCACATTTGTTAAATGGTTATTACTGTTGGGTGGTGTGTTAAATAAATTAATAAAAAATAAATATTTGTAGTTAAAATAATAAAAAGCAGATCATTTGCCAGAAATGTATATATGTACTAATTTCTGGCATTTCAGCTATTTGAATCATTATTGCCCTTAAACTTGCAGAAAATAACATTGGTGTGCAGTACGAATTGCATGCAAGAAAAACTGAATATCAAATACCAAATACCTGGGAGACATAAGTTGCTGTTTTTATATAAATATTGTTCACTTCCTTATGCTGCAATCCTGCCCCCTTACAGTAAAACTACAATGACATTATATTTTTTATTTTTCGACATAGTTTCCCTCTAGACTAATTCACTTGGTCCACCGGTGCTCTAACATCTCAAAAAAAAAAACGATATATCTCTGGAACTTCTAAACCAGCTGTACTGAACCTTTTTTTCTTTCGGGCCACATAAATCTGTTTGTTATGCTACACGCAATATTTTTTGGTGATAAATAGAGTTCTAAAAAAAAGGTCCTCATGTTGTTATAATAAGCTTTAAAAAGTCACAAGGACAATTTGTTTGCAAAACAATAAAAATATTAGCATGATACCGTGATATTTATCGCTTAAAGTTAATGTTTTCGCGCATTCCGCTCAACATTTTTAATAGTTTTAAAAAGTACGTTCCTATTAATAGTGTTTGGGGCTGCACAAAAAAGCTTGGAGGGCCGCAGGTTGAGTATGGCTGTTCTAAACCATCAACAAGCCAGAGATTATCGCTCAAACGAGATATTTGAGAGTCAAAATTAACATAAATTTCGTTCGTTTTGAACTATAATTAACTTTAATAATCACAAAAATGAATGTAAGTATACTAATTTGCATTATTAGGCAAAACCGAAATCGTAAACATTTTTGGCGCCCAACGTGCCATTTTTTTTTTAAATTCTGTTAATTTTTATTTTTTACAATTTATTTTAAACACGATTACAGTGGTTTGTTGGAAAAGTAATTTGGATAAACACAAAAGCAATCTAAATATTCGTGTATCTCACCCCCAGCTTATCATACTCCTACATTCAGGATATCTATTTATTGATTTGTATCGGATTTATTTATAAGTAGCAAATAAAGCATTATTATTATTATTAAAAATGGACCGTTATAAATGGCTGTTTCGTGGACCTTATCGTAAACTGATCTTGACGAGCCCCATAATGTACTAAAACTAATCAACGAACTGTGCACTGGATATTTAGTAATGGTGCAAAAAATCTTAAACCACAAAACAATGATTTAAATCAATATTTAAAGAAAGTCACCTAATCAAAAAAAAATCTCTGTATATGTTTACCTGTAAACAAATTTACTTTCATTTCTCCGACAATATCACATGTGAATCGCATTCATTGATACAATTAAGTTTAATATCCCGTTTAAGTAACGTAACAAATCTTTTATGTCCACTTCCTTACACGAAGAGCTCGTAAAAGGTCGACCGAATTTATTTATTTATTTCCTGTTAGATATTTCGATAGTTAGTGAAAATTTTATGCTTAAATATAGTTCAAAACATTTTGGGGGGAAGAGCCGTTTGGTTGTCATACACATCGTGCTCTAGCGTTTCTTTTTATACAGTGTGTCTGAAAATCTTTATATTTGGTATTTCGTTTAATTTTAGTACGGCGGTTGAGTACGAAATGATTTAGAAAATTTGATGCTGATCTTAGATCCATTTTCAAAATTATTATTATTATTAGTTTTTAAATTATTATTAAAAAAAAAACCAAAAATGAGGCATATTTTTTTTTTTTTTTTTAATGGAGGCTTAACCGTAAATTTCACATATTGCAAAGTGTTGCATTCTTGAGAAACTTTTTAATAGAACAATTTCCCAAATTGTCTTTTGTTTTCGAGTTACCTGCCATAACTTTATTGTTTATTATTATTTCTCATAGATACTGTTACCTATGTTTTATTATTGATTTTTATTGATTATACTTACTTCTTTCAGCTGAAACAATAAAAATATATTATGATAATTAAATAATTTTTTCACTTGTTTTACTTTTATTAAAACTAACATATATATTTTTTAATTACGAATTCTATTAAACATTGTATTCTCAGTATATGAAAAAATCGTCCGTTAGTTCATAAGTTAGTTGGCGCTGCTGTAACGCACGGTGCCAATAGAGCTTAATATGTAGGTATAAAAATAAAATTGAATTTGTAGATTTGTTTGCAGTTTATTTTGATTCAAATTTTTCAACTTTACCGCTACGTTGCCAAATCTATTTGTGATCGTAGTCCTATAAATTCGTTACGAAAATAAAAATTAGGTACTTATCCAGTATTAAACTAATACCCTTTCGTATACCACATGCTATTTTAGATTGATGTGGTATTGCCAAATTAAGGAAAATATTAGTTTTTATTCATTCAATTGTATTTCTTAAAAAATTGGATAGGGAGTAGCTCGCAGGGAGTAAGTATAGGTAGGTAACTCGAAAACAAAAGACAATTTGTAATTTTTTTTCAAAAATTCCCCTTCTGAAAAAATATTAGAAGATTTAACATTCAAAAATAAGTGGAAATTGCTGTGACAAATTTTAAAAATTAATGTTTCCTATAAATTTTTGTATTACTTATTATTTTACCAAAATTGACAAGAAGTTTGACTGGTCTAATAGGGACACCTAACTATAGAAAATCCAGTTAATTCGCTTTTTCCAGTGGCGTAGAGTATGAATAAGGAGTACCTTTATCTCGCCCTGCTTTTTATGCCACTTGCCAATAATTATTTTTAATTATAATTTTGATTATAATAAAAAACTATCTATATGGTAAAAATAACACTATACATCTGAGATTAGCTTTGGATTTTCAGATCTATTGTAGATATTCTTTGATAAATGGTTAGATTACTTTGTCCTCTTTGGTTTTTCTAGTAGACTCTTGGGTTTTCTTCTCCAAGTGTAATCTCAGTACTAATAGACCTTCGCAGTAACACAATACGTATATTGCTGTTACCTGCTCTTGTCGATAGAATAGGCACAAAGTCTCTTTTTCCGGGTTCATGTTATGCATATGTCTGTTAAGCCTACAATGGCCTCTTAAGTCCCACTAGTACTTCAAAATTTTTCCTAGTCTGTCTTAGTAGATGCTTGGTGAGTTTCGGTGATGGTCCTTTTATAAACTCATCTGTCTATATCTTGGTGAATTTTTCCACTATTTCTGAGATTTGTTTAACATCAACTGCTTTATGCATGATCTGATGGCTGCCCGTGTGACACCATAAGGGTTCTGGGACAAAATAAGCCTTTGAGGCTCCTTCTCGGGCTAATAAATCGGCCTGTTCATTGCCTTCGTATTATCTGTGACCTGGTTCCTAAGCTAAGGTTAATCTGTTCTGACTATCCAGCTTCTAAACAGTTCCAGAAAAGGTTTGAGTGGACCTGCTTGAAACTAAGTGCTTTTAACATCGTTTGACTGTAGGAGTACATGACAATGATTTTTTCATTTACCTTGTCTTAATACCTTTTGGCAGTGATGTATTGCTGCTATTTCTGCCTGGAACATTGTCCATGTTACATGTTACTATAAATTCAGTGAGATTCTCGTCTTTGTCTTGGCACTAAGAAATAGTCGAAAAAGATAAAAAAAACTGTTAAAACTTGCAAGGTCATGGCAACTCTCATTTCGTATCACTTCTGTAGTGACATCATTTAATCTTAGTTTAGTTTCTTAATCTTCTCTATTAAACATCGTTCCAGATTGTTGTTCCTTCACGTCACTGGTTCTTTACTTCACTTTTTTTTGTATGAATTTTTCTTTCTTTTAAATATGTAGAGAACTACCTATTTTGTATGAATTTTCTAGTTATTCTAAATCATCCCTGTCCTGTATCTCGCACACACTCACAATTATTATGTAATTATCCATCCACCATACTTACCAGATGTATAACCTCTCATACCTATTGCACTATGTAAAAATTTAACCAAAAGCGTAATAAAATAGACTTTAAAATTTTAATAAAAACATGGCACGTTTTAAAATCATATGTACTTACATCAAACTGTTTTCCTAGAATCACATCATTTAACAAACAATACACATTGATTACAGTTCTATTTTTAATATTTCCATGCGCTCTTTGTAGTAAAACAGTTTGTAGAAGTAAAAGCAAAACAGAAAAAAAAGAAAGCAATAATTGAAAGTTCAGTTAACCACGTCACTGTTTTATGAATGTCAACAGTTCTGAATCTGGAGTGATTTAATCCCTGATAACCCCGGATCAAGGTCACAGTTGCCAGATGATTAATTATACCTACAGAAATCTTAAAGAAATAATATTTTTTTCATTTTTCACAAATATCTACTGTTACACTGGTGATAAGCGGATTAGTATATTATATATATACTTTTATCTCTTCACAGATGTTCTTCAAAGTGTCTCTCTGCAACTTCTCTGTCTATAGGCGATACCATTTCTCCAACACTTATGTTGTTTCCTAAATCCTTTTATCCCATGTTGCGTCCATTCTAGGACTTTCTTGGCTCTTCTGTTATCAGGTATTCGTGGTATTAACCGTACAATACTAATTGTTTTGTTTTGACAACATATATCATGTTTAATACACAAATCATTAAAGAAAAGAGCTACCAGGAACACTTGGGGTATTGCAGAAATTTCAATTAATTTTGTTAACCTAAATCTCTTCATTTCGTAGCCTTTAGCTCAATAAAAAAGTCAAAGAGAAAATTATTTTATATTATTTATTATCGTCTATGAAATGTCTACAGCTTCAACGGGTTAAATAATTTAATCTACGTGTAATAACACCAAAACTTTGCAATATTTAGCTTCTGTTCTTTTCAGATAGTTTTCTGGGAGACATAGCTTTAGCATTACACGATCAATCATCGAAAGCCCTGCCAAAATTTTCAAATTTTCAACAAGAAATAGAAAAATACAAACAGGACATCCTCGATGGATTGCAAATAGAAGAGGAAGGATTGACGGACTATTTGAGGAAGAAAACAAAACAAACTGCTTCCATATCCCTTCCCAAGCACTACAATGATCCATTTGACAGCGTTCCAGTAAATTCGGGCCAGAAAAACGGACAAATCATCAAAACTTTTATCGAAAACGATGATCTGAGAGTTGACGAAACAAAGACTGATTATAATAATAAAAATGCACCAGAGATAAATCAAGAAGAACTTGAATCAGGGATTAAATTGAGGAAGAAGAGGTATTTAAGAAAACATTTAGATAGGTAAGTTTTTAAAGGCAGGGCTACCAGATATTCGCAAAAATTGTAGGTACCATTAGATATATTTGATATTCATACTGCTTTCAAATATACCCCTGGATAGAAGTAGTTGGCAATAATCTCGTTCTACCTGTGGAGTTGCCTGGTTGCTTAATGGGAGAAGATTATTTTTCTGTAAAGGATTTTACCCAATTTGTTAGATAAAATTTCTTTGAACATTCATCAAAACTTATGGTTTATTTTAAGAACTTTGTGTTACAAAGACCATAGAAGTTCTCCAGATTTAAATCCTTATGATTTGTGTTCCTGGTTTTCATTTCCATTGCTACTTAACGCTCTGCTCTTGAAATTTTGATTTTATCTTTGTTTGTACTTATTGTTTAAGGCCGTTAAGAGGTACCAATAGTCATAGGTTTCCCAATGAACCTCCTGTTCACGAATTCGAACCAAATTTTGATCTCAAAAGAAAGAACACTGCCACGTTCGAGGGGCACCATTTCAGAGTAACCAGAGCTGCCACTGCCAGAAAAGAGAGGATTTGGGATTATGGAGTTATTCCATACGAAATTGACGGCAATTTCAGTGGCTTGCACAAAGCCTTGTTTAAGCAGGCCATGAGGCATTGGGAGAATTTCACTTGCGTCAAGTTTGTGGAAAGAAACAGAGATGAACACCAGAACTACATAATTTTTACTGAGAAGCCTTGCGGGTGAGTAATTTATAAACAGTACATAAATGAGTTTGATTGATTTACAATTTTTTTGACACTTGTCTAAGGTCTTTATTTTTATCGAGTATTGTTCCTTAATTAGGATTAATTGTCTTTGTGCCGAAACTGATTAGTTGTCTAAAAAAATCTATAAATCCTGTTTCTTTAGTAACATGGCTATTTCTACTGCTACTTAAGAAATGAACAAATGGTTAGTGCGACGGGGATTCTCATAGCAGCAAAATAATATCACTGGAAGGGACATGCTTATCTATACAGATAGCAGACAAGCACTACTCACCCTGGACAGACTACGAATTTACTCAGGGTTAGTACTAGAATGCCACGAAGCTTTGGCTGAAGTATCCATCAACAATGTGGTGAACTAAAGATGGATCCACATCGAAAGGTTACCGTCTTGCTGATTCACTAGCCAAGAAGGCAGGCAACCAAATACTTTTTGGACCTGACCCTAATCGGTAGTGACAAACCAAATTAAAGAACAATCCCTTGTGAAATTCAAGGGAATATGGGATAAAACAAGAAGCTGCAGACTTGCCAGGAAGCATTTAAGTTATCCTGACTAACACTAATACTACAGCAAATACTAGACAGAATCTGCACCTTATTATAGGCATTCTGACTGGTCATTGCCAAGTACGGAAGCATCTCCATGACATAGGGCTGTCAGCATATCCTCTGCGATTGCCCGACGCTCTCACTTATTAGAAGTGTTTGGCGAGAATTGTCTAATAGCGACCGGTATAAGAGAAGCACCTCTTGGCGACGTTGTCAATTATATTAAATCTGTAAGCTTCCTCACGAGCTAGAAGGTGCCTATCTACTTAAGAGGATGCACAATGGGTCTATGACTATTTCTTACTACTACTTAAGAAATGAAAAAGTCCAAAAAGTCCTTTAACGATTTGTTATTTATTTATATGCTCTCTGTCTATATTATTTATAGTTTGTTTCTCTTTTTTTACTGATTATTACGGTTATCCATAATTATAAATAGTACCACTTTTGAAATAATCACTGATTTTCGCATAATTTTTGAAAATGGTAAATGTTTGAAGTACAATAAAAATTCCAGTGTTTACAAACTTTAAGAATTTTAATTACTGCAAATAGCCATTCTGTGTAATTTGTTTTTTAAGCTGAATCTACTGCAAAAATCGTTAGGCTCACCCGTGACCTTATTGCATATCACTTGTGTTCGAACTAATTTATTAATAAATTAAAATTTATAATAATTGATAAATAAATGAGCTTATTTAATTAAAGACATGGATATCAAAATAAAAACAACGACTTAACTTCTAACTCTTTTTAATTTGTTTATTATTTAATTTGTCTAATATAATAAATTGCTTTTTCCATTACTCACAAAATTGTTGATATTAATAGTAAATCTGACGTAAATTGACCTAAAAACGTAGCGACTTTTTTCCTTGATCTTTTTGAACTTGATCACCAACTGTTCAGATTACTTATTAAGAGGGTTGGTCCCAAAACTTTAAATGGCAGAGTACGGTACATATACTTTGTTATTTGTTATGAAGTTTGTCTTATTTTTGTTTTGTTCTTAGAACTACGTATGGAGTTCCACAGTGCTCGGTTTTGAGCATGCTATTATTTATTATATAAATCAACTGCTTAAGCAACTATATATGTGACATTTTTTAAAAACTACTCCTGTTGCTGCTATTAAAACTGCTCTAAAAGATCAACCATTAATTTGAATCTAACATAATTATAACTAAAGGGTAAACTATTTAAATTTATTCAGTGATGTTCTAAATTATGATTATCAGTTGATGTAAAAATGCAACCTAACTTCATGTGCAACGATCCTAATTATCTCTTCTTTGACGTAAGGGATGTTTTGTCAGATGCCGTATACGTCTAGCACCTCATTTCTTTTTTAATCTTAAATTTTACCCCTTTTGGTTATTAGTATTGTTTGTACCAAAAAAGTTATTCTTTTTGTTGTTCAGTAGATTTTGGACGATATAGATATACCTAGGTATATGAAAGACTAAATGACATTACTTTTTAATATATGGCAACTTTCTAAGAATTAAAATAACCGATTAGGAACGTTTATTTTTTTTTTTTTTAGAAATATATATCTTTTTTAGATGCTGTTCTTTTGTAGGAAAAAGAGGCAATGGAGGCCAGGCAATTAGTATAGGAAAAAACTGTGATAAATTTGGAATCATTGTACACGAACTTGGACACGTTGTAGGATTCTGGCACGAACATACTAGGCCTGACAGAGACAAGCATGTAAATATTATTCGAGAAAATATCATGAGCGGTAAGTGTATTTTTTATAATTGATAATCAACCAGGTTGAATCCTCTCAAAATATGTTTTTCTGTCTAATTCGTTCTGTCTAACTCTTAGTTTAGAGCAAGCACTGTTTAAATAACATGAAAAAACACTCACCTTTTCTGATGATTTTTCCTATAGCTAGTGGGCTCATCTGAAAACGACTGTTGTCTTCTGTCATTCTCCTATCAATTACGGTACACGCCTATTAACATTCATCAAGGTTTTCTGTTCTCTATAGTACAGCCCATTGGCCCATCACTAGTGGAACCTCCGGCCAGTACTCGGGTTTCCGGGGACTAAAGCTCTACTCACACTCTACAAAATCAGCAATTTAAAAAATTGCTGACTTTGAAGCATGCCAGTAAAACTAACCCCACAGCCTTATTCACTAGTACCAAATAATCCGGAAATTATTCATACTAGTGTCTTTATTGTACCCAGAGAACCTCATACATACATCTAACTCACATCTAGAGAATACAGTGCCGGAATTGGGCGGAATTCAATATCTAATAATACGTTAATTCTGGGAGTTTATAGCCATTTTTTATGTTTAATTTATTTATTAAATTTGCAATACAGGATACAGAGTTAAATTTTTTTTTTCTAAATTTATTATCCTTTGTATTTTATTTTTTAATTCCGAGATCGAGTATAATAAATCCCTTTATAAATAAATTACAATAATAAAGGTCCGGAAATGTATTCCCTACTCACAATTTACAGACGATTCGCCTTATGTTGAAAATCTGAAAATAAAAGTTTTGGGCATTATACTGCAAGGAAAGATTAACGAAAAGTTTTGTTTAGATATATCGCTGCACTACAAAGAACAAATTTAACAAAAGCGCTATTTTCGGGGCTACGGGTATGATGTAATCCTGTGACAGATTGAGGGTCTCCCTCAAACCCCAAAAAAAACAATTTATTCTTTTTAAATATCCTGATTCACACAAACCCTCCCAAAATTCCCTAAACGAATCTCCTAGGATTTGCTTTGTAGACTGAGGTTGACTACTTAGGGTGACTTCTGTTGAACCCTCAATTGATCTACTGAAACATTAATTTATACATACACTCGATACAACATTGTTTAATATGTCCCGTTACCGAGTACAAAGCAGTACTATACGGCGTACTTCCCGATCGTTTAGCCCACAAGTTCACCACACTAGAGAGACGTATTCTCCGACGATGATAACATCTACCCTTTCACTTTCCAAGTCGACATAACTACGAAAACACCAAAAACACTCCCATTCTCTCCCGTTTCCAACTTCTCAGGAAACAATACATCTCTCGAACTTTGGCGAAGACTTCAAGACTCGCTCCCAAACACCTTGGCCTACAACTACTTATAAAACCCAAACTGAAACTTCCAACTTATGTCCTCTACTATTCACAAGAGCTCCCCTTGCCCGCAAACCTCCATAACTTACCCTTCTTTCTATCAGTGACATATAAACCATTCAAAATATTTTATCTTAAAAACCATTACTATTGTACAGAATCGTGATTTTGCTTCTCCATTTATACTGGACTATTAAACATAACAGTGGAAATAGCAAAATTGGCGATTCTTATTTGACAAAACTATTTACCTTTACTTCGAAGTCTTGTCCAGTGGATCGCTAACTCTTTATCATAGACTGGTTTAAATTCAGAGAGGATGTTTATTTGTATTTCAAAGGCGTAGCTAGGTCAATAGGTGGACAGTCCAGATAAATTATTGTCTTAATTCTGTCAATGTATCGTTTTCAGGTCAAGAGTACAATTTCAATAAACTAAGTGAGGACGAAGTCAATTCCTTAGGAGTTCCCTACGATTATGACTCAATCATGCATTACGCCCGTAACACTTTTTCGAAGGGAACCTATTTGGATACGATTCAGCCCATCGATATACCTGGCAGAAAGCGACCAGAAATAGGACAAAGGATAAGGCTTAGCGAAGGAGATATCGCCCAAACTAATCTTCTTTACAAATGTCCAAGTAAGTGTTGAAAAGTACGATCACAAAATATAATATAATAACAATTAGTCAACGTCATCCCTGATGGTGATTTGTTATGGAATGATGTTGATCTGAAATGGATGCACTGATTTATAAATATTCTACGACGATTGTTCATGAAACATTATATTTATGTAGGTATCCGTTTTTTCCAGAATGTGGTCGCACATACCAAACAAATTCAGCAACCTTTTCGCCACCGGTTTATATGGAAAGCGCGCCAAAAGATGAAGTTCGCTGCGAATGGCGTATCACGGGCACTCACGGTGAAAAAATAGTCCTCAACATTACCAATTTAGACATTGCAAAATCTCCAGACTGCAAAACTGATTTTATAGAAATACGAGATGGGTACTGGCACAAATCCCCGATATTAGGTTTATTCTGTGGGACAGGACAATTCCCGTTGATTAAATCTACAGGAAGTAGAATGTTGGTTTCATATGTATCTAAGAATCCTAAAGGACACAAGGGTTTCACTGCTAGTTATGAAGGTAAAAATAGATTTGGGTGCAGCTAAAGTATTGTCTGTTAATAACATGATTTTTGAACTAAAACTTTACTAAAATTTTATAGAACAGCTCTAGTACGTTTTATGGTCTACTATATATATTGTAGTTTTTAATCACTCTTGCTCATACTCTTACTTAAAATGTATACCCTCTGTGACTTTGTATTAAAATATGTAGTTTTTCCATAATATCTAACAGACATACTTTAGAAGCTGAACATCTTTGTACGAAACGTATTGAAACAATTAATACATACAGTATAGTATTGTAGCTATATGTGGTGGCGATCTTCTTATCGACTCAGAGGGCCATTTAGAATCCCCTAACTATCCAGAAGACTACCAACCGAACAAAGAATGCATCTGGAAAATTACAGTTCCCAAAAACCACCAAGTAGCACTTCGATTTCAATCATTCGATGTAGAAAACCACGATAATTGTGTGTACGATTATGTGGAAATTAGAGATGGTCTCACACCTGACAGTCCCATCTTAAAGGTATATTGCGGACATAAAATTCCACAAGATACGATATCATCTTCCAATCAAATGTTGGTGAAGTTCGTATCAGATGGATCTGTTCAAAAAACTGGATTTTCCGCTATTATCATGAAAGAGTATGATGAATGTTCCAAAATCGACCATGGATGTGCTCAACAATGTGTCAATACTTTGGGAAGCTATATTTGTACTTGTAAAATTGGGTATGAACTCCATTCTGATGGCAAAAATTGTGAAGGTAAGTTGGAAAGGTTTAATAAGATAAGATTATAAGGACCTTCTGTTGATCTTTAAAAATTATTAAAATATATAAACAATTTACTTAAGATAATTATAATAAGGCTTTAAATTTTAAATTCTCTCACATTAGCACATGAAGTACCTAGGCATCCATGCAATAACAATATTCCACCTCTCTTCATCTGCACTCAAACCATCAAACTAATTTGAGTGCATGCAAAATTTCCGTCTCAATAATTAAGCTCCCGTTTAGCCCTGTAGTTAGAGAGGCCCTGTCAGTGTGTAGAAAACCCAGCATTAGTGTTACAGGGCCGCTGAGAGCCAGGCCGGGCCCCTGGACAATTGTTTAGATCGGGCCCCGTGATAAAAAAATCTTAACCAAAAACTGTTCTTCTTCTACTGAAATAGAATTATAAAAACTATTCTCCCTACTTCAATTACTTCTTCTTCTAAAAAAAAAGTCTTCACATCAAAAAGCTATTCTCCCTACCTCAATTGCTTCTTCTTCTAAAAAAAAAGTCCTCAGCCGAAACTTAACTTCCCACTCTCATCTTGTGTCGAATTTCTCATGCAGAACAAAAATGCTGTTGTCGGGCCCCCCTTACGCGCTACCGGGCCCCCATTTAAGCCCGGGCCCCGGGAATTAGTCCCGGCTACCCCCCCTCTAGTCGGTCCTGTTAGTGTATTAATTTTGATTTTACCTTAAAAGCTAATACACAAAAGTAAATGTGAAAAAACGTTAGAACCGAATGTATCTTTACTAAGCTAGCTACCCTTGTCTTCTCAGTTCCCGACTTAATACATATAAGAGTTAAGAGTGTAAAAGAGAAATATAAGGCGGCGAATTTTTGCAGTCGCCATGGTGTACCTACCTACCTACCTACCTACCTACCCCCATTTTGACAAGTTTTCCTTTCAAGTACCTAGGAAATTCGAGTCTAATAACATGATTTAGGATATTGTAAGATATATAAAAGACTTAAATGCATGTAACATTTTTGTTTCTGTTGTAATAAACGAAAATATATCGATAACAACTAAGTAAAATTAATTTTCAAAAAATGTTAATCTATTGTTCCTTACCTTTCAACTTTAGACTAGATGTGTTAGGTCTTTTAACATCAGCTGCTTGAAGAACCCAAACCTAAGAAAAAAATTAATATTTCTTTATTCTAAAATAATATTCATTAGTTTTTTTGTGATACATGTCTTCTACAATGACTATTGATGAAATGTTTTGCCATCAGTACCTATACATATATACAATAATTGCTCAAATGCTATTATACCATGTGTATAATCAATCTTATAAGCTTATATGAATAAGTGTAAGGCTAAAAATAATGCTAAAAACCTAAGAAATTTAAAGCCTATAGCAAACAAAAACCAAAAGAATAGAGTAAATTGAAAAAAGTAATTTTCTCTTACACTTCTATCGTGAATTCTAGAAATTTGTTCAAGTCACGGCTTGTATTTTAGTATTTTGTATAAAATTAATATTCCTATATAATCTGCAAACCCATATTTTAAATAGTACGTATAACTTTTTAAATAATATACATTTTTAACTTACCCAAGTACTTCTACGTTTTATATTCAAAATGTCTTATTGGCGCCTGCCTGCTTGATTGTCGAGTTTCCGATGTGTTTCTCGTAATAACCGCCAGGGGCAACGTTGCCGGTTTTCCTTTATTTATTTAAATATAATTACGGACAACTTTTTTACAGAAAATTGTTAACAAAAATTGTTAACAAAATATATTTATTTTAAATCAAGTTAAATTATTCTAATTTAAATGTCTTTAAAATATAAAATAGCAGTTTGACAGCTATACTTACCAATATCCATACAAAAAGACTTTAAAATACCAACTCCCAGTCACATTTATGTTTTAAATTAATTGTAGATGCTTGTGGTGGTATTTTCGATGTGCCCAATGGAACAATAACATCTCCGTCATTCCCTGATTTGTATCCGTTGAACAAAAACTGCGTGTGGGAAATTGTAGCTCAGCCCCAATACCGAATAACCATCAATTTTACGCATTTTGAACTAGAAGGAAATCTGAATGCTCAGCAACAACAATGTGAATATGATAAAGTCGAGATATTCAGTAAGCTTAAGGAGGACAAACTAAAGAAGCATGGTTCATTCTGCGGGCCAAAAGCACCTAGTCCCATTACGTCCGAGGGAAATATCATGAGAATAGTGTTTTCGTCTGATACTAGCGTACAGAAAAGTGGATTCGCTGCTGTGTTCTTTACAGGTAGAAATGTATTTTTTACCTCTAATTGTTATAAAAAATGTCTTCAAACACGATTTATTTTTCAGATATAAAATTATTTTATAGTAAAATATTTCCTTCGTAAATTTTCAGATATGGATGAATGCGCCATCAACCATGGAGGTTGTGAACATGAATGTGTCAATACCTTGGGTGCCTATATCTGTACCTGTCACAACGGATATACTTTAGCTGAAAATGGTCGAGATTGCAAAGAAGGAGGATGTAAATACGAGATTTCAACACCCTACGGCACTCTCGGCAGTCCAAATTATCCTGATTATTATCCTCCCAGAAAAGACTGCGTTTGGCATTTTACAACGACTCCTGGACACAGAATTAGAATAGCATTTCAACTATTTGAGCTAGAACCTCATCAAGAATGTTCCTATGATCATGTAGACTTCTACGACGGGCCATCTCCTGAATCACCGTCTTTAGGACGATTCTGCGGGTCTAAACTTCCACATTTAATAGTGGCTTCTGGTAACCAGATGTATATGACGTTTAGATCAGATGCCTCTGTTCAGAGGAATGGTTTTTGGGCTACACATTCGACAGTGTGCGGAGGAATGTTGGAAGCTACATTTGAAAAGCAGCACATATATTCTCACGCTAAATTTGGAAGTGCCGGCTATGAAAATCGGGCCGACTGTGATTGGACAATAGAAGCACGTGGGGGGTATAACGTTAAATTGTCATTTTTGACATTCGATATTGAAGATGAGAAAGACTGTGGATATGATTATGTTGAGATATTTAGTGGTTTGGATTCTAGTGGACCATCTTATGGAAAATATTGTGGATCTAAGGTACACAAATTTGTTGAATATCGCATTTTATAACGTAGTCAAATAAATATTCTTTCTAATTTTTTACATAAATATAATAATAATAATTTCCCTAATTCACCCTCGACTGAGCGACTTGTGTAAGGGAAGGGACGGATATTATTATTATTATTTGCCGTGGCGCTCCGGGGCGACTTAAAGATTATTTTACGGTGCCATTTGACTTACAGGAGAAGTACACCCGGAATAACTCAGCCACCATCATCGAAACGGTAACGCATGGTGATTTTTATAATCAAAATATATAATCAAAATGTGACGTTTAACTTCTTGATTTTTGTTCCAGAAACCTTTTGACATCACTTCCACACACGAAGCTCTTCTAGTTAGATTTAAAACGGACGATACCCTCGTGAATAAGGGCTTCAGCCTCGTATATGAAGCAGTAGAAGGTTCGACAAGCGAAGAAGAAATTTAAACATTTGAATCGTGCTGAGACAATTTAAAAAAAAACATTCGATGGACGTTTCATGTTTCGCGCTAAAGAAGTGAATAATATGTTAATAGATTTACGAAACACCCAAATAAGATGGTTACAGATCTAAGCAACAAAATTAATTAATGTATACTTTTAGACACGAATGGCGATGTCATTATGATCTCACAAGTGTGTTTATGCATGTTATGTTATTTGAAGTATTTATTTAATATACTTTTTGTAAGTTATACAAAAATATCCACCAAGCTAGGTATATTTTCAATTTTTTTATTTTAATTGCTTTAAACAAATTCGGAAATTAGGTATAGAAACTACTTAATGCAGTATCATCAACATGCATGATACTGATTTGTATCATAGATAAATAAGTTTAACAGCAACTAGAGAAAATCTATTATCTATGATTCAAAGAAGATTTAAAGTTTATTTAGAGATATATCGTTGAAAAACGATATTTCTTCAAGTCCCGTTCTTCCGTTTTGATTCATAACTCTTTTTAATATTAGCACAAATGTATATAGGTAAACTTCTGGCATCCAACGCGAGTTATTTTTGAAAAAGTAATATCCTAGATTTTGTCCAAAACTAACAAACTGTTTAAAAGGTAGCTAAAAAAATAATTTGCAATGTTGAAAATAGATTTTGTGATCAAAAATGCCCACTACATTTGACAAAACTCTGTTAACTGTATGCAGCTAAATATTGATGAGGGTGTTTTGTCTTTGATTGCGTTTGGTTAATATCTAGAAGGAAGTGTTATTATAAGTAAAGTTTTATGTAATCAAACTTACAGGGAAATTAAAAAAATGCTTCCTATTTCTGACTATCTTAATTGGGTCCAGAACATGGTTGCTGCCGATCATACCAATTCGTTGCTAATATGTTAGAATCTATCGTAGATGGTTTTAAATTATTTCGACCAAATGGTACTGATCTTACTTACAATTATACCTTATATTTGTTACGTGTGTGACATAGTATTTAATTGGTGTGATGAATAAACGTTTTTTAGGTTCTGAGTTTCGTATAATGCTCAAAATGTAGTGTTGTTTTTAAGAATAAGATAATTTGTTAATAAAATATTTTTTAAATGAAATAAAATAGCCAACATAGTGCCATCCTAAAAGTAACAATCGAATATGCGTTTACGTGATATTGATAATTTTAACATTTTTATTATAAATATAATTTACGTTTATCACTTCGTTATTAATTCCTTAACATCTCATTAGGTTATACACTGCAATTTACAGAGTGTTTATGCAAATATGTGTTATTCACAAAATATTTTCATATTAATAAACAATTTATTTGTTTTGCCATTAAATGTAGCCATCTTGGTATTTACCGAATTGTAGTCTATAAGTATGACTATCGAGAATTGTTTATCACCGTGCTAAAAACTTGTTAACGTCTCTCTATTTATTTATATACCAAAATGAATAGATACAAACATAATGAATATTTCGCTCAAACATTCTGCATTACAAATTTTGAATTTTGCTATTGTAAATATTACATATTAACAACAAAATATCCCTTATTATATTTGGCATTATAAATAAGAATACTGTAGCCAGTTCGTCAGTTGAGTATAAAATGTTTGTCCCAGAAGAAAGAACATCATTAGTGATTTTGTTTTAAGCGACTAATGACATTACATTTTCTCTTAACCGACAAGTCACTAAATGATTTTAGAATATAGTGATTTTTATGTATTATTTATTCATTTTTTGTTAAGGAAAATTAGTCTTTAATACCTATATTAAACAATGATTTTTTACCACAGCCAAAATTCTGTCAAACACTGTAATATTACCAATAAATAAAAATGACCTATGAGTATTTACTGCCTTAAATTCACCAACAAACATAATCAAAATTATCTATCAATAATGGAGATTGTTGCTCTTTCTTTGAGAACAACGTTAAGTCAGTCGTTGAATAAACAACAAACCATGTATTCATTTGCGTGTTTGCCGAACATACCTATAAGGTAAGGTTGGCTCATGTAAAAAGTACCATTATTTGTTAATAGTACTCAGAGAGAAACAAAAATATCGATCTACCTGTATTAGTAACTTTATATTAAAATAATTCAATAAATTTAAATTGTGATCAGAATTAGATTTTTATTACTAAGAATCTATTGGAATGCTGAGCTATAAGCACAAGTAAATCTTTGTATAAAACTCAAAATTCAGCTGACAATAAATATGAATACCTATTTTGTATCTTTATTAGAACTAATGTGATTTGATATTCAATGTTCTGATTAAAAACCAATTCAATTTGTAATCTTCAACAATACTCGTTTCCCACGTGACCAAATTGTTTTCATTTGACTAAAAGTGACATTATAAACTTCAGTAGGAATCTTATAACAATGTCACTGAAGTATTTGACAGAACTGACACGAAAATAACGCCCATTTTCATTTTACCAGATCACGTGGGATACGGATATCGTTGAAGACTCTGTATATGTTCATATTCAAAGTTGTAAGTACCTATTGTAATTTCTATTTTAGTAGTCTTGTCATAATGCTCTCCCTAAATGACAGGTTGCAAGATCCATCAATCAGCTGTCATTTTTTATTTATGTACCTAGTCATTTCATGACTAATATTTTTTTAAACATATTTTTTCAGTTTTTTTTTATTAAAAACAAATTAATGTGGTATTTTTTAATTCTTGTACAGATAATTTGGTTACAATTAGTATGTAATTTTTAGTAAATAAAATAGTACATATTGAATGTTATTTTTTTTATAAAAAAACAACCTACTCTGCACCTTTGCATGGAAATCCTCGAACTAGCACTAATATGAGGCAAAACTATAACTACATACAACTATACACACTTACCGTTTAAAATTTGATGTTTTTTTTCTGAAAATCTATATATATCTGATCAACTGTAATTTTCTTAACTCAAACACAAAGATTAATAGGTTCATTAATGTGTCGCCGCTGAAATGAAAATTATGTTTTATGATTGGTCCTAGGCCATAGCCTGTTGGGAATGGTATTATTTGATGTATTGAGCTTCAAACTTTTAGGAATTTAAAGCACAGATTACCTTAGATGCGAAACTCGGCAAAAGATCAATGAATTTTGAAGTGAGATTTCTGTGAGTTTGAAACTTTAAACGGATATTGCATAATGACCTAGAGTAGGGTCAAATGCATGTCAATAGGATTAAGATCTATGGTTGCAGCCATTTTTTTTATATCTCACTCGGGAGTAATTATAATAATTTTCTATTTCATTCTAAACATTATACCTACACCACTTCAGTTCATTGGTATGGCATAGCCAAAGTACAGGTGTTGCCAATTTTAATTATTCTGGCTAAACATTGTTACTTTGTAAATATGTTTTAGTTGGCTAAAAATAACATTAATAACTTCAGTAGTGACCCTAAAATAATTTCACTGTCCTATTTGACAGAACTGATATTTCTTGTTTTACCAGATTACGTGGGATTCAAGTATTGTTGAAGACTCGTTACTTCATTATCAAATAGATAAAAAAGTATTGTGAACCCTAATTTTGTCACACCGGTCCTGATTGTCACCTATAACCGCCAACCTTCAAATTAAACTAGATGGCTACATGTCACAAACCCTACTTCTTATTTCTAAGCTGATATGGGTGAAAAAGAAAAGAAAAATCCCCACTGGTGAATGGCTAAAGGGTTTACAATAAATTGTCCCAAGAATAAAATCAACTGTACGTGTGAATTCTTTAAAAAAATCACTCAAGATATACAGTATGACCAGAAATATACAGTACTGAAGCGAAAATATATATTGTTCACCTATAAATATTAACAGATTAAACAAAGTTAGTGTCTATTATAATAGCCAATGATATGCTCTATATGCTCACCAGGTTTCGTAATGATGGGTCCATTATTTCTGCCAAACTCGTATGAGCGATAGGTTAGGTTAGGTTGAAAATGAGTGGGATGATCTCATCGCCTTCCACTGCGACCCAGATGGGTCTATTGTGGCACATTACTAACTTATAGTTCACCATACAAGTCACACCTTTTGATAAAGGTCATGGTTGAATTGGGTGAGACTTTTTTAAAGTCGGTAGGATCCAGTCGGATAAATCTGAAGATCTGGAACCTGGTTCTTTCCAGAGTGGAGCAGGCACATAAAATGTGCTCTGCAGACTCGTCCTCCACGCTGCAGAATCGACAGTCCGATGTTTGTTGCAGACCTACCTTTCTCATGTGGTTGTCCAGACGGCAGTGTCCTGTCATGAGTCCAGTGAAAATGCGTAGATCTTTTCTACTCCATTCTCGGATCTGAGCAGAGGCGTTTATAGAAGAGTTGGTTACAAACGCCTTCGAATGGGTTAGCCCTGGGGTATTTCTCCAGTTCGTGCGTGTTGCACTCTCCGTCTATTTTGAGGTAATTCCTTTGGCAGTGCTTTTTGCAATGCCCAGGAATGATTCTGATCCTATGAACACAGATTCGGTTCCTCTTTTAGCAAGTGCATCGGCTTTTACGTTGCCCTCCACACCACTGTGTCCCGGAACCCAGATCAAAGTAACTTTGTTCCGGGCACCGAGGCATTCTAGGGTATTTATACAGTTCCAAACCAGCGAGTCAACTCGATTGGAGCTCAGGGCCTGGCTATCTGAAAAGATCTTTATAGTCTTGTTTGCGGGGAGAAAATTAATCAACTCTCTCGCTCCCAATTCTATAGCAATCATTTCTGCATGAAAGATCGTGGCCAGAGACCCTAGGTTTATTGATATGTCAACTCTAGGCCTCTGGCCGAAAACTCCCGCTCATACTCCTTTTTCAGTTTTGGAGCCGTCCGTGTACAACGCATAGTCTGACTGGGAGAGAGTTTTTCTCCTCTGCTCCATGCGTCTCTCTCTGGAATGAGGACGCTGTATGGCGTTTCTATGTGCTGTCGGGGAACTTGCGAGTCCGAGACCATGCAGAGGATGAGGTAGTTATTAATTTTACTCATCAGCCCCGTCTTGTCCCATCGCAGTTCTTCGTAACATTGACTACCCACCTTCAGAAGCCTGTAGACCATCCTGGCCTCCCTCTCCAGCAGAATGTGGGGTTAGGTCCAGCATGGTCTCCATGGCTCCCGTTGGCGTGGTTGACATTGTCCAGTTATGGCGAGGCACGCAAGCCACTGTATTCCAGCCAGCTTTGCTCTGGCCGTCCGTTGAAGTCCCTTGTCCCACCAGACGACAGAGCCGTACGTAACCATGGGTTTTACCACTGTTTGGTAAATCCAGTAGATCAGTTGAGGAATGATCCCCCATGCTTTGCCGCATATCCTTCTAAGAGTCCAGAGGGATAATCTGACTTTGTTGATAGTTTTATCCAATTAGGGGTTCCAGGTGAGTTTCTTATCTAGGGTGATTCCCAGATATTTCACCTCCTCCGCAAAAGGAATGGTTTCCCCAGCCAAGGTAGGTTGTCGAAGCTTGTCGAGCTTTCTTCTCTTGGTGAAGGGGACAATAACAGTTTTGCGGGGGGTTAACAGACATCTGCTCCCTCTCGCACCATCTGTTGATTGTATTAAGGGCTTGTAGAAGGATGTTGGAAATCACCTCTTCGAACTTTCCCCTAATTATAATAACCAGATCGTCTGCATAGCATTGGAAATCCACCCCCTGTCGGGAGAGATCGTCTAGCAGGTTATCCACCAGAATAGTCCACAGTAGGGGTGAAAGTACGCCGCCTTGTGGACATCCTTTGGCATGCCTAAAAGTGACAGTCTCTCCCTGTAGTAATGAAGTGATGTTCCGGTTTGCCATCATGCATTTGATCCAATTACAAGTTAGTTTGTCGATTCTTCTTTCAATAGAAGCGAACAAAGACTGAGGGAGGCGTTGTTGAACGCGCCTTCTATACCTAGGAAGGCACCTAGCGCAATCTCCCCGTGATTTAGGGAATGGCCGATTTTGCCTACTAGATTGTGCAGGGCATGATCTGTCGATTTGCCTGCTTGGTAGGCATATTGGGAGGAGTTTAATGGGTTTGCCCGAGGCCTCCTTCTCTAATATGCCGATTTAGAATCCTCTCTAGTGTTTTTAGAAGATTGGACGATAAGAGTTTGGGAGGGAGGCATCTACTCTACCAGCCTTGTGCATATACACGACTTTCGCCAACGTCCATCCTAGCGGGATATAGCTCCACGCCAGGCTTGCTCTAAACAACCTCACAAGGAGGGGTAGCAGGAGTTCCTGTTCTTTTTGTAAAAGGGCGGGAAAAATGCCATCCACTTCGGGTGATTTGAAAGGGGGAGAATGAATTCATCGCCCATTTCACGGCGTTTGGATAGACAATTTGTGCAACAAAGTTCCAGTCCTCCTTTTTGGGTCGTATAATCCATTCCGTTAAAGGAAGGGGTACATGTTGCCTGTCCTCCAAGATTCGACTGCCTGGGAAGTGTTTCTGTAGAAGAATCTCTAAAGTTTCCTTACCAGAGTCCATACATGTGTTGTCGGGTCTTTTTATCGAGCAGACTTCTTGTCTCGGATCTTTGGCGAGAATCTTGTGAATCAATCAATCAAAAAAGTGCTTTATTGTCTGAAGTAAAAAAACTAATTGACAAAGCTGGTAAAAAAGAACAAGTCTGGTACTTGCAGGTAAATCAGATATACTCTGACAGAACTTCCTCCACGATTCTCGTTTGGCCTTTCTGATAGCCTTGTTGTACTCCGTTAGAGATTTGCGGTATTTTTCCTCTTTAGCTCGATTGAAGAGATGTCGAACTTCTTTTCTTTTTTGGTCGAGGCTTCTGCTCCACCATGGAGTACCCCTCAGGTGCGATTATAAGCATCCTGTTCACAGTGTTATATACCTACACAGATAACAAATTAGTGTTTGTTTAAAACAAGTTTGACAGCAGTTTCACTTCCATAGCAATTTTGATTACTTACAATAATTTTGATACTGTATATTTACGATCATATTGTATATATATATTTTTAGGTTATATTGTAATTTTGACTAATTAACACACATTTATTTTTTGTTATATAAAGAATAAAGTATGATTATTCCATGTTTAACAGTTTTAATTATGAATCATTTGTAAGTAATGTAAAATTAATTCTTAATTTCTCATTTGATGTTAAGTCTAAATTCACACAAGTACTGTAAACCTAGATCATCGGCAACTTCACTTAAAAACCCAATGTTTGCTTACCGAAGCTGTTCGAGTGGAAACGAATTTCTACGAAGGATTTTTAAAAATCTTTTTTGTTATTTGTCAATTTTCGCATCTGGTCTGGGTAATCTTAGATTAAGGGTAGAAGTTAACAAAAAAAAAACAAAAAATTCGGCGACTATATATATATATATTTATATATTTTACACATATTTAACTTAATAAAGCTGTTGGACTATGACCCACGGTCAAAATAATTTAGCACACTTACAAATGTATTAACTAAATTAACTATAGTAGTATAGTATACACTGATGTGTTCATATATTCTTTTTTTAAAATTGGTCAGCTAGGAGATCACAAAGTTCAACTGAAACGGATTCTTTGCTAGACCGAACAGTTAGCCTATACATCTGAAAAGAAAAAAATATATATATCAGATGAAATATTTTACTTTTAACCAAGGATTGTTGCCACAATCATTTCCGAAATACAATGCTTACAAATTTGGTCTAGATGAAGCAAATTTCTTTTTGAAAGTAACGCATTGGTGTTTGGGAAACGGGTCGAAAGTTGTTCATAAGTTAGGGACCAATATGCAAATATTAAATTAGATTATATTATTCGGAATGAGTAAGCGTAATTAGAGGGGTGAATTACCCCCGAATTACTGGTACGTTTTCACTCGAAATCGTTACAAATTTTCTTGAAATCATCATGAAAATCCCGAAATCCTCACCGAAAATCATAGCTAAAATCACTTTGAAATTAAATTTTCGTTAAATTAAATATGCAGCAGGTGGTAGATCAAAAAACAAGTTAAGTGCATAAAGGTCAATCAAAAAACAAGAAAATTTATAGATTTACAGAATTTCACAGAAATTGTACAAAATTAATGGGAATTTTCTGTGAAAATGTCAAAATCATATGAAATTTTTGACAATTTCCGAAATACGGGTACGTTAGACCTTAGTGGTTTTTACCCCTCGGAGTAATTATAGTAATAACGTACCTGAGCATTCTTATTGGGTTCTAATCTCAAAAGGCAGCCGACTTGCTGTGATCTCATGTGGATAATACCGGCGCATACAAAATTATCCGGATTTGGATCGATGCCTTCCAACAGTTGCATTCCGAATCCGACGATTTTTGTTTTAGCTGCCTGTAGGTCCATGGGAGCAGTTGCTTTGAATATCTTTTGAGATCGTTGCTGGTTTGTGCTGAAATATAACAATAATTACATGGACAATTATTAGTGATGGGGTATTTTCATGAAAAGTAATTTTTGGACGTCTGGGAAAGTAGTAGACTTTAAAAACCTAGATATAAAGCTATAAGGTAGTCAGGACCATCTTATACAAGTCAGTCAGAACCGTCTTGACACTTCGGGGCAATTTATAGATAGTGCAATTTGACTTAGGTGAAAATCAATAGAAAGTACCCAATCAATGAAATTTATAGGTGTAAGTTTTGATCCTACGCTAACGTGGGAGCTTGATATCAGTAATCTATGCTCAAAGCCGAGTAGCACCTGATTTATTTTGAGAAATGTTAGGGATAAAGTTTCCATTAACATCTTGTGAATATTATATTTCGGACTGGTACAATCTCAGTTACAGTATGGCTTGTTAGTGTGGGGTTCCCTCCTCACATATAAGGAAAATTGTAAGATGTATGGATAGAGCTCATCCATTAGCAAGCTGCCGAAATCTATTTAAGAAATATGAAATTCTAACAGTCCACTTTTTATATATTTTACAATTAATACTGTATATCTATGATAATAAGAACCAGTTCACCTTAAACAATGAAATTCACTCATATAATACCCGCCATAATAATGACATTCATGCACCCTTCTCAAAACTGAAAGTGAGTCAGAATTCTCCCAATTATATAAGGTTTTTTTTTGCATAGACTCTTTTGTCATACAGCCAGTCACAAAATAATATATAGGGGTTAAATGTTTCAATAAAATGAAAACGCTTATTGACTTAGTCGGCCCAAGGAACAGCATAAAGAATAAAATTATTAACTTCCTCTACAATAACACATTTTAAAATATTGATGTGTTCATCAATTCTTGAACTACACAATGAATCATAATCTGTTAACAGGTCATTTTCAAAATTTTAAATTGTATGTTTTTTTTAATAATATAAGTAGTCTTATGCATATAATTAAGTGTTTACTATTTTTTAAGATAATTGTTTTTAAAAATTGTAATATTGTTTAAGTGATAAGTGGCTTTCACTGTGTGAATGTCCTTTTATGGTGAATAAACTGATTTGATTTGGAACCTGGAACAACCCCATCCATAATTATAAAAAAATAATTCACTCCAAGGTTAAACAAATACGATTTAATGTTTGTTGTTTTAAAGTCAGAGTAGTTAAAATGTTTCATTAATTTGTCGAATTTCCGAGTTATAGAATCGCTTCTCATAATTCAATCGAATTATGAATCATATCGAGATCGCATTACTAGACAAAAAACGGAAACCCATCTCAGCTCTGGGTTTCATATTTTCAATGTTCACTTCATTTCGTATTGTCGCGAAATAATTATCAATTTAGCAGTGCCAATATAATTTCTAGCCCCAACCCCTGTTACTAAAGTACTTACTTTCCAAGATTCTTCCACCTTGCGAAAAACGATTCGCCATTCATTTCTGTCGGTTCAAAAAATTTGTTGATGGTGAGAGGAAGTTTGATGTTGATTTTGTGCGGTACTTTGTTACAAACAAAACTCACAGCAATACTAGGTGTGTCTAAAACATTTTTTTATTTAAAACAGGAAAATTCAAGATAAAAAACACTAACCTGTATAATCATCCACACACTCAGCATTAATCATTTGCTGTATCTGAGCACCGGCTTCCAAAACAGGTTCGACAGGCTTCATCTGTATGCTCAATTTCACGTTGTTTTCCTCCGACCATTGTAACGTGGGGAAGAAATTTTGCAACGCAGCGCTAGTTTTGTTCCCATAAAACAGTCCAAGACGTCCTAAATTTTGCCTGAATTCGCTCTTAACTCCGATTTGTATCAAGTCGTTTTCAAACAGCACACCGTTGTTTTTACAGACAAACCTGAAATAAACAAAACCTAAACAGTGTGGTAAAAAAGCATGATGTAAATAACAAGGTGTAGCATTCCCGTAAAAGAGCACCCAATCAGAATTATTGTTACTGTTACTGTATTAATTTTATATTAACATATTTAAAATTTGTGTATTCTTTATTATTAAAATATAAAGTGATTCACAAAATATCTTTCTATAGTTATCATGGACGTAACTCGTAATCTATTTTTGTCAGTTATGGTCTACTTTATTAACATTTATTGTGGATCACTCCTTAGGACTATGTATATTGGTAACATTACTTCTTATTGGTTCCTTATTGACTCCTTCTAAATGCGAAATGCTACAACTATTTATATACATCAAGGCAAATTAGTACACTTTCAAATGGATTGATAAGGCCCATGTATTCACTTTGAATAAATCTTGTTTTGTCCCAATACTTACAATGAATCTTCATAATGATTCTTCTCCCTGATTCGTTTTCTGATAGTTTCCCCTGTATTATTGACCCCTAGGTTGTCTCTACTAACAAATACGTTGACTTATAATTTTGAAAAAAGAAATATTGGTCTACCTATTGTCTGGCAGTAATGTCACTATAATTTATTTACATATTTTTATTAATTTAAAATTTTAAACTGGTTTACAAATATTGTGAACAGAAGCACTTTATGGAATAGCAACAGAAATTATTATTAGTCAGTACAGTAATACCCAGAGTTAGTTTAATTTTTTGACTTACATTAATAAAACGGCGAACAACTACTAGACCAATCATTTCATTCCTAAGTAAGCACTTGTTTACTTGCAAGTATTCAGTATGTTTTATATTTTTAAACATGGTGAGAAACAATGTAATGAATGAACTAGAGCGCAACACTGCCTTACACTATTGCCACATTACAAAATAAATGGCATACTGATGTAATGAATCATTCAACGGGTACTGGAGTAATACTGAATACCTGGAAGCATTCGATTGTGACAACACTGTTCTTACTAGTAATGTATAAAGTAATGTGCGTTCTCTTGTGGCAAATTTTGATGAATTTCTGAGTTTAGTAAATGAGTTTTACTGTATTGCTGCAAATATTGATACAAACACCATTTCAATTCCAGGATTCAATTTTTACCGACTTGATAGACTTTAATCTAGAGGTGGTGGTGTTGGTCTTTATTTAAATACTTATATTACTGGTTTATAATTAGTTGAATTTAATTCCTCTGACTTAAACTGTGAGCAAATGTGGATTAAATTTACGATAAACGGTTTTCGCGTTTGCATTGGAATTATATATAGACCACCTAAAGGTAATATGTCCCTTTCTATTGATAGTATTGACTCTACTTGGTCCAAAAATTCTGCCTACATTTGATCACATTATTTGCGTAGGTGACACAAATATTGATTTGTTGACAAATGATAATCCATCTTGTTTTGATGCGTACGACTTATATCAATCTATAACTGAACCTACTAAAACAAAAAATCCTTATAGACTCTCTCGAAATAATTTGGTAACTATGTGGATAACAACATGAATGCTTACAATTCGCATTTTGGAAAACAAAATTGGTCTAGTAGTTGTTTGTCATTGAATTAATCCTTGATGGTATCACTTATAACGCGGTAGTAATCAAATATACTGCTTAATACTGTTGCTGATTCCATTTTCATAGCCAAAATGCTTGGATTTTTACAGTATATTCCATTTCAAAAATATTGCTTACTCATTATAGCTTAGATTTTAGTGTTTTGGAGGTTAAATTAAATAATAGCCTTGGATAAAGTTCGTCACAAAACTTTTCTATGCTTAAGTAAAAAAAAAGAGTTCATTATTATTACAATGTTGACCAAACAATGTTTAAATTAAAATAATCCAAGAATGTTGGCGATGCATGTATTAATGATTAATACCATCATTTTAACTACTTCCTCTTAGGTTTCAGTGATTACACGAGCTTAAATTGATTCAAAACTTTTTTTTGTGACAACCACAACGCGCAGACATTTAAAACTAGAAATAAAATTACGTACTTCTTAGGATCTACAAACCAATTTCTATTAGATGCCGATGACGTCGAGTTGTTTGCTGGTTTGCCACTATAGATGTCGCCGAAAACATCCAGCAGTACGCCGGTATTACCAGAATTTGGTATAGAAGTCGGTGGGGTTGATAGTCCCAACAAATCTGCGGAATTTGAGCTGAAAAATGGCCAATATAAAAAAAATTGGATACCAAGATTCTTATCTACAACTGCTTTAAAATGCAGTACACAAAATGATTAAAAGAAGAATAGGTCTAGCAGAAATCCAAAATCATTGGAACTATATATATTTTTTTAAATAAAAATATAACTATTTAACAATGAACCCTACCTAGTGTTATTAACTTCATTTGCATGATTGTTGTTAACCGGAGTAGGGCTCTTGTTATCCTTAATTTCATTTTCTGGCACTCTACCAGGTTTCTTCTTTTTCAACACAGCTAGAATTGAACTTTCTCTCTCCGGAAACGCGGGCATCTCTTCCAAAACAGTAGCCAGCACATCAGAACTGGCAATGATGCTGAGCTGCAGGTATTCAGATGCCCTTTGCTGCAATTCCGCATCAGCCGATCTCAAGTTGCTGTGTTGCTTGAAAACTTCTTGGACTTGAGTACGGATTTCAGGAAAGAGATTGATGAATTTGATGTACGTTGATAGCAGCAAAGCACGAGTCATAGGAGAACACAAGTGGTATTTTGAATGAAGAAGTTGGAACTGTACTAGCGGAGAGGATCTTTGATCTCCCGCTATTAAATTTCCAAATTCCCCAAGAATATATCCACCCACTTTTACCATGTTTTCGTGGCACGCTGGTGCTTGTAAAGCCTAAAATAAACAACATTTCATGGATATTTGATAGACCTTCATTAATTGTTGAAGTATTTACCTCAAATACCGTCTTAGCAGCATATCCCTGTACCTCGTCTCTATTTATGACGATCTGAATTACACGATACCAAACTTCTTCTGATACATAATCTCCAGCAATTCTGATCAAATTTAAAATTACATCTACATACCTAGAAGGAAAATAAATTGTTTTTGTAATGTCAAGAAAAACCTGTTTCCAATAATTTAAAAGACTTACCAAGTATAATCAGTAGCATATTTCTCAGCAAGAATAGCTACTTTGAGAACCATTTCCTCCCGAATAGAATAATCAGCTGTTTCGAGGTAATTCAACATTTCCTGTACAATTTCTTCAGCGTTACTCTTGTCGCACATTGCATATAACAAGTCGACTGCTTGCTGACGGACTGAAACGTCCTTTTCCATTTTCATTGACAATATGACAACTTCTTGATGTTTCTTGACAGCCTCGTGTGAAAATTCTGAAGTGGCTAAGTGACACATGGATTCTAGGGCTAAATATCTTAAATTTGTTTCTCTGTTACTCAAGAACTGTCCGAGTTGATTGCAAGCCCTCACAAGAAGGTTTGCCTCACTACAAAAGTACATGATATTTTAATAAATTATATTTAATTGAAGTTTGATATAAATTACCTGTCATTATGAATTATCAGACTTATCGCTTCAAAAAGAACTGCGTTTTTAGCATTCGAGTGTTGTACTTTTTTAGATTTTGGAGGTTCTTGAGCTTTGTTCAGTATTGTTTCCAGGCATTCATTTAATCTTCCTCTAACACCGGGATCTTCAGCTGGAAATGCATCAAAAAAACGTATAAATATAAATCTTTATTATTTGTAGTTAGAAGAATTAGATTACAACCACTCTAAATGTCTTACCTGGAGGAGTATAGTTTTGTAATAACCTTAATAATTTAACAGAGAGCCAAGGTGCTGGAACAAAGTAATATGTATAATCCTGCAGATCTGTGTAACTTGCTGTTACAATCTGAAATAAAAAAATTCAATTCATATGAGTCGTCAGGAAAGTTTTAAAATATCAATGAATAGTACAAATATAGCAGATTCCTCACCCTGCTTAATCTAGATACAGCAAGGGAGACGCATCCCTTATATTCTTCGGGATTCTTCTTTACCAGTGCATCTATCAGACTTGTAGCCGCAGTTACTACACCCATATGTTGATCATTTAATAAATGAATAATTCGAGAAGTCCATTCGCCTCCAGGAATGATATCTTGTGATGTTCTAAATAAACGCAACAAACACAGTGCTGCGCTTTGTTTAACAACATCCATTGTGTCCCTAAAAGAAAATAATGTATTAATTACCTAGGTGGTACATAAATTTAATTATAAAAACAATTTGCAAAATATTATATTAGAGCAACTTACTTTTATATGCAGAAAATGCGACGAAAGCTTTGGAGGACAAAACACAACTAGACAATACATACTGATTTTACTAAAGCTTTCGATCACATTAATGATAATATCTTATTGCAAATGTTGTGTAACTATGGTTTATCTAAGAATTTGTTAGTATTATTAAAAAAAAATATGTACAAAAACGACATTTTATCTTCATGTTCAACTGAAATACATCAGGTAAGTATGAAGAGTACCTTGTGCCATATTTTATTTATAAATGATCTTCCTTCGTACATACAACACTTCAATGATTTTAAAATGTTTTAAAGTATAAAAACTGTTAGATTGTGTAGTATTACAAAAATATTCTCCATCAAAACGTACAATGTATTAGAAACAAAATACTTCAATTAGACAACCTAGTTAATAACATGACAAACGTACAAATTGTTTGCTTTTTAGAACATTGGCTGTTTTCTAACCAGGCGACATGTTTCAATCTTACAAATTTTAATAACGTAACTACTTTTTGTAGAGAAACACATATCCATGATGGGGTAAGTATATATATTCACAATACTTTACAAAGCGCTGAGATTCCAGAAATTAAGAATATGTCAAAAGAAATCCACTGTGAAATAACTGGGGCGTTTATTAAAAAGCTTAATCTGGTACTCATTGTTATATATAGGTCCAATTCACAATTTTCTAATTCTGAAATATTTCTTACAATTTTAACAAATGTCTTATTACTATTAGAAGCTAAACACAAAAATAGTAGAATCATTATATGTGGGGATTTTAATGTAAAATTTTTAGAACCTGATAGCAGAACAAGACAACTTGCCGACTTGTTACTTCAATTTAATTTTGAACAAACTATAGAAAACAAATCACAATGCGTAGCTATATTCACTGATCTGTCTAAAGCATTTGACTGTGTAAATCACACATTGACAATCAACAAACTAGATAAATATGGCATTAGAGGCATTGCAAATAAGATGATTGCTTCTTATTTGCAAAACAGACAACAAAGTGTATATTACAGAAATAAACTTAGAAAACCTTTATTAATGGAAAGAGGTGTTCCACAAGGATCCGTACTAGGCCCTCTATTATTTTCAATAAATACCATGAATTCAAATAATGCTGAATTACTAACTACCATGTATGCAGATGATACAAATTTCTCATATCACTGCAATAACACATCTGACATAGTTATGACAAAGTTTATGACTGAAGCTAAACAATGGTTTGATAGCAACGAATTATTTTTAAATCACAATAAAACTGAAACATGTGTCTTCAGGTTGAACCAAACTGCTAGTGTAACAATGAACACTAAATTTCTCGATATATATTTTGACACACAACTTACATGGAACTATCAAATAAATAACTTATGCAACAAGTTGGCAAAATTCACGTTTGCTCTACGTATAATATCAAATATAGTTAATACAGAAGCAGCAATAACTAATTATGGCGTATTCCATTCCAATTTAACATATGGGATTCTAACTTGGGGAAATGCTAGCTTCACTTCGCTACAAAGACTTTTTATCTTGCAAAAATCAGCAGTTCACTCTATTCTGCGGGTAAATTATTATGAACCATGCCGACCACTATTTAAGCAACTTAGCATAATGACCCTGTTTTCGCAAATAGTATTTGAAAACTTGCTGGTCATAAAAAATAATTTGGGAAACTTCACATGTCACTCAGACAATCATACATACGATACCAGAGGGAAAAATCAGCTAATCCTAACGAGAACTAGAATAAACAAGTCCCGAACAATAGGCATTTCATTATATAATGCACTTCCGTCCCACATCCGTAATCTACCAGGAAAAAAGTTTAAACATCAAATTAAAAAGATATTACTATATAACACTAACGATTATTTTGTAAGAGTGAAACATGTCACCTAATATTTTTTATATTGTATTTTTTTTATATATTTTTTATTACTATTACCAACCATGATCTTTTAAAATCCTATTTTATACGAGTATGCTGTATGTTAATGTATGTAAAATGTGGTGTATTTTACCATTTATGTGTACTGACGACTATGTAAACATGTTTATATATGTATTACTGAGAATAAATATTTCTATATTAATGCCGTTTTTACGTGGAGTGAAATTAATAAGTATAAATTTAACATACTATTAGCCCTAAGAAAGACAATGATATATTTGATTACAAGATGGACCAACAAATTTTAACTAGAGGGTTCAAAATCAAAGACCATCAATTTTTGTTTGGTTCATATATAACTAAAATTGCTTTTAGTGCTAATGTACATTAGGGTTCATCATTAAACAAATTCTAGTTTTTTCTTATTTTAATATCTCTACTACTCACTAGACAGGACAAAATTAGAATGTCCCAGTCATTTGGGACCAACAACCCCAAATTTACTTAAATAAATTGAAAAAAAATCAAAATAAATTTCTCGGGTATCTTTATTATAAAAATACTGTATTTGGGCTGATTACAATTACATATGTTACAAAAATTTGAAATACCTTCACCGATTAAAAAATGGAAACAGTTTATGATGACATTTCTATACAAAATTTTAAGTAACCAAGTAAACCCAAATAAAGTACTGCTAATACCATTTAATGTTCCTCCTAGGGCGGACTTGGGTCTTCTTTTGCATTCAATATATCCAGTAGTACCCAAAAATACCCCCTTTCATTTGTATTACGACTCGCAAATAATTTAAATTCTTTGTGTAACTTTGATTGTGATTACCTTAATGTTTTAAGCATTTAAATATGCTGTTTCTGCTGATTACTGTGAAGCTTTGTAGTCTTGGTATTCAGATTCATCCAAATAAGCAAGAAATGTAAAGTGTCACATTGACAAATATATGATTATATTGTAAGGCATATATTATTGTATTGTACTACACCCATGTAAAAAGGAGGTAAGGTAAAAAATAAAAAAATATCTTACAGGGTGAGCCAAAATTTACCAAAATACAATACATATTAATTTGTGGTTTTGATAGGTTACTCTGTAATTTCATTCTAATTTTTGTTAGCTAGTTCTAGATATATCACTCCAATACAATTTTTTCATACAAATAAATAAATAGGGTTAAGTGCCACATAATGCTCTCTAGTTGCCAGTTGAAATAACAATTTTTTTGTTGCTAGTTTTTTTTTTAATACATTTTTACCTTCTTTTTATTGAGCCTACGCTTATAAAAATCAGTTACGACATATCAAAATTACAGAAAGTAATTTTTTTGTAAGAAAACATATGCTTCCCTACTACTCAACCGTAGGCGATACGAAAAAAAAAAAAAAAACATCAAAGTTATATAGTAAAAACAGTAGTTTCTAATTAATCAACTTTAATTATTGGCAAATTTAATAAAAAAAAAAAAAAAAAAATATTTCCTGGAATGAACAGATAAATGATTCCCAGTAGCTACTCTAACTTAATCACCCTGTACATAGTGTACAATGACAGGTTCCTTATGATACTGGAGTTGTTCAGTGAAATTTAATTTATTAAATAGCCTAATTCAATTATTCAATATATTCAATTGTGTACAGCATGTAGAATAAATTGAAATTTATTAAATGTTTGTTGTTGGCACGTTACTGAAAGCCACTTACTCTATTTAAAAGCATATATTTTTTCAACAGAAATTTTTGTTTTTATAATGTAATTATTATAATATAACTAATAATTTTAGACATAATCATAAGATGGCATAAAAATAGCCTTTTTTGTAGGCCATTTGGGATTAGACCAAATCCACTTTTCAAATTGTCTCTGATCCAAGTTATAAGTTTTGTCACACTTTATGAAGCGAGCAGTGGCGTAGCTGAAGGACGACGCTTCCCCCATTGCGTTTCGAGCCCCTCACAAAGGTTTTAGGCGCCCCAGAAAAGCTTTTGTATGTACAGTAATATTCCAATTCTTGTAGTTGGTATTTGTGTTATATTTAGTATAAATTTCTTCAATCACTGCACTGTTATAAAGTGTTTGATCTGGCTCTCAGGGTATTTCATTTATGTGGTAGATCTACTGGGACACATAAGTAACTAAATTGTGCTCTTTTTTATTTGTAATTACCAAGTTGTACACCCATTTACAAATGGATAAATGTAATACAGGATATACATATTTACACACAAAAACAGAAGAAAATAGTTGTTTCAAAGTAACAATTAGTTTAAACAAAATAATTTTATATTATGGAAACTGCGATTAAAAATATCAAGATGGCAATTGTTATATTTGAAGCACGTTTTAAATACTGGAGAAAATTTCAGGATATTTAGCTGGTAATTGCATTTGGCTATACATAATTATATTTTTATAAAATCTGAACTGATAAGAGTGTAACATAGCTTCTAATAATTAAATGTGCTGTGCAATTTTTAAATAAAAACATAAGCTATGAACATAGTCCTGAGTAGACAAAAATACAATTATTCTAGCCAATTTAAAAAACATAAATCCATTAACATGTTGAAGCAAACGTTAAAAAAAAAAGTGACAAAATATGTATTTATTGTATTGAGTAATGTATATATTTAAATGTAGATTATAAACTATATTTTGTCCACTATTTGTATTTTGATACTGCACAAAGATCAAAATGTATATAAAGACATTAGTAATATTTTATTCATTTTTAATTATTTCAAAATCCTCTGTTGGGCAAAATCATGAAAATAGAACAATTTTGCAGCAATTCCAGCTACCAAACAACTTTGCATTTGTTATTTTCAATATTAATATAGTGTACATAAATGCAGGACAGTTGTACAGTTTCAAATATAAAATTGTGAATTAAGACTACTTTTTTAATCTACTTACCCTGATACTAATAATCTGGGAATTTCACTTCCAAATGCCTCTGCCATCTCTCTACTACCAATATTAGCGATGCACTGTAGTGCCAAGTTGACATGGATAGGATTTCTTGATCCAAGATCATTTTTAATGCTTTGGATTATGAGTTTGATAAGTTCACTATTAGTGTTGACTAGTACTGATATAAATAAATATCCCTGCAATATGTATTTAAATAATAATGCGTTTTTGTGTAAGTCTAATAGATATATTTACAGTTTTTTTCTATTTAAAATTCTGTGTTAATAAGAACTATGTAGTTATGAGCAAATAAACATTCAAGCAACTAATAGGAAACTAAATTTTAGTTTCAAATTTCCCATTTGAAGTTGCTTACTATATTTTGTATAGCGATAAAGACAATATAATTATTATAAGAACTTCCAACCTTAATAATGTATCTAATTAAAAATCACTTGCAAAATACTATTCTATTAATTGCTAGTACCTAATCTTCTTAATGAGGACCAAAAGTCCAAGTTAAATCAATACTCATTAGCAAAATGACTGCCCTGGGTAGTTAAGAGTAATGTAAATATGAACATGTCTTACAATTTGTTTCTCGGAGTATTTATTAGATGATAATAGGTTGACTGCTTCCATGTGTCCGAAATCAATGTCATGGCCCAGTAAAAATATAAATAACAATTTGCAAACATATTTCTTTTTCTGATATCCATCTAGAGTCTTATCACCTTTGAATTTACTTCGAATATTAGCTAGTTCTTTATTTATTCTCTTTATCTCTGCTTCTTTACTTTTACCTAAAACCTCAAGAATATATTTAACTGTAAATTTTGAAAATGTATATACTTACAGTTTCTAATATCTGAAATAAATACAGCTAACCCTCGCATGCCATCTCCCCGAACTGCCGGCATGGCTAAAATATAGATTAAACACTTTTTTTATAAATAAAATGTTTACGACCCTCCCCCAGATTATAATCAAACCAATAACTTGTAAACATTAACGATAAATAAACAATTCTCACCCTTCCTCCTGAATTGTCACGAAAATGTATTATTTACCAACAATGTTTTATAACAAAATATATCAGTTAGTTGTAGTATGAAAAAAATATTTTTTTTATAAAATTTTATTTATTGGGGGCAGATCCGCAGTCGGTCATTGTCTCCGTCAGTTGTCACGATTGTCACGTCAATAAAATAACAATATGAAGTTAGCGTTGAAATTGATTTAAATGTGGATTGCCAGTGGATCTGTCTATATATATTACCTCTTTGTCATCGGATATGGGTAAGTATAGGATACAAGATACACATGATATATGCTACGTTCGGTGGTTCAGTCAACGGAATCGAGTAAGGTGTGGGTTGCGTTCAAGGTTGCATCATAGAATTTCTGCATTCGTTGCATTCACGTTCGTTTTATTCCATGTAGTAGGGAAATTTAAAATCCGTCTGTTGGTTATGCTTTAAAACTGACACTGTTTTGAATTTGGTTTGGCATTTAACGAATGTCGGCATAGTTGATAACGGACAAGTTGTTAGTTTTTAAATAATATACATTTGGTAAGAATACTGATTTAATAAATTTATTTACTGTTCTACAGTTTTTTGTTACTTTTTGTAGTAATTTAGCTATTGAATTTAGGTTAATTATAACGTTTTTTGTGTATTATTATTTGTATTTTTTATCCTCCAAACTTTTCTTTTTGTAACAAACTTTTTTAAGTATTAAATTGATATGAGATAACTATAATTTTTAGATTTGTTTATTAACATATATATATCTTTGTATTTAAAAATAATATTTTTTTATCTGATGGTGAAGATGTACATATAGCTTTTTAAATGTAAAATTGTACAAATAGGTATAGGTACCTATTTAATTAAACTTATATAAATCCAGTATAAAGGTGTTTTTTTACCTTGTATGCTCTTATTTTATATATACCTGTAATCGCATCATAAATGTTTTTAATTTAATGGTAGGTAGATATTGTGGCTTCTAAAAGTTGTAGTTTATAGATGCTCCTTTGTATGTAAGCAAATTGATAGCTAACTTGTGGTTTTTCTATTTTTTATAAATTACAGATTCCTAAGTAAGAAGTAAATATTACTCAAATGTTTATAAAAACTTAAGTTCTTAATACAGATGTAATAATATTATAAATCCAACATAAAAATAACACTCACTTTAATAAATTATCACATTTCTGTCATAACAATAAAAAACCAAAAGCAAGGTACTTAATAAAAATAATACGTATTTGAAATCACAACATTGAGCAGCTATAGGAGATAAATTCTTCGAAATAGCAAAATAAAACTAAGTTCTGAATAAAGTTCAATTTTTGTCCCTTGTAAAAATTCATTTTCTGTCCATTGAAAATGAAGAAAACTTCATTTTTTTAATTGTTAATTAAAAATTGATTCACTACTATTATAATTTCATTAATTAATTTGTTGTCATCCATGTGAATGTCACTCTTCAATAAGAATTATAGAGTGAGTCTTTTCATTTCTGAATTGCTTAACAACATCCATTGAAAACATTTAAACTCTTCTAAAGGTCTGCTCCATTTCTCCAAATATTTGGAGTAAAATGCAATAAGGTGTGTTCCATAAATTCATTTACTGTTGAAGAAATAGGAAATACATTTTAATTATGTATGCTCTGCAGACTTAAATTTTGAGTAGCAATCAATGGCAGTTGTTTATTTTAAAGTGGAAAAGGCGAAAAAGCAGGATGGGCACTTGAAATTTAGTCAAAAAGTTATCCAGACGTCTGGCTACCCTACTTAATATAATTTTCAGTACATTTTCACATTTCTTTTTAAATTTAAGTGCTATATAATATAACCACAGTTGCATGATAAAGCTCATTTTAATATGTTTACTTGCTAAATGTCTATTTTTAAATGGGTACCAGTTTCTTTTTCAATCTCACAGCACAGCATTCATTTTTGACTAAACTCAAATTTGAAAATAAGTAAAATCATTCTTTTTATTATATTTGAGGCAACAATTTCTTTTTAACATTTGTTTTTCAAAATTTTAATTTCAAGATAAAACTGACTGACTGAACCATAGGAGACATCAAACCAAGTTTATAAACAAGTTTCTACTTGATTAAGATTCTGAATCTGTAGTTAGGTTTTCTAAATTCTATATTCAGAGTGAACTTTTTATTTACAAAAAATACAGGGTGTTTCTAAATTAATGCGACAAAATTCAGGAGGTGATTGCTTGTATGAAATTAAGATGGGTCTTTCCTATAACTAAATTTACCCAGCCCACCCCTTTCCGAGATATCACCCTTAAAAGGTGGTGACTAAAATTGAGTTTTTATTTTTTTTCTAAAATTTTAGTAAAGCTAGAAACTTGAAATTCTGTAATTTTCATGCACTCGCAAAGGACTAACCACAGGTATTTTTTCAATATTCCTGTTACATTATAGAGGAAAATAAAACAGTTTTAAAAAGACAATTTTTTTAGGCTCTTAAAATGGATTCCAAATCAAAATTACCTAAACCAAGTAGGCTAAGACAACCCATATTTTCTAATCCCAGCACTGCCAATAATGAACCAAAGCCAGCTGTATCTAGACCTCCACAGGCAGTAATTAGGGTTCCACCTCCAACAGTTCAGCCCAGAAAATTTATGAGAAGATCTAAGTCTCTGGCAGATTTGCGTCCAAATACAATTACAAACTTTTCTGTGACAGCATCTTCTACTTCTAAAGCTGGAGTCAAACGACCACCAGCTACAACAACTAGCAAAATAGATACAGGGACAAAACCTAAAGTGGTGAAACAGGTGAAAATTCCTGATTGGGATTATAAAAGCAGATTTTTAAATTTACAAGAAAAGCACACTAAGTTACTGGAAGTTCACAAGAAAGTTAAAGACCAAGCAGCAGGTATAGCATTTTCACATATTAATTCAAACCAATAAAATAATGTTTTTATAATAATATTAACAAGAAAATTCAAATTTCTTTCCTAATAAAAGCTACTGTACCCTAGTTTGTTAAATGGATACTTTTTTGTTTTGTATTTACTCATTTTAATTTGATTTAAAACAAATTTTATTACCCTTAGGCATTGAAGAACTAGAAGATCAACACAATGCATTAATAAGTGACCATGAAACTCTTAAAAAAGCTCATGAAAAATTAACATTACTAGCTGAAGACCAAGCGGCTCAACTTAAGTACCTAAAACAAGTTGAAATAGAATTAAATGAATTAAAGGGTCCCTACAATGATCTTAAAATTAAACATGCTGAAATGACTTCTGATTTGGAACAGTTCACAATGGAAAACAATGATTTAAAGCAAACAGTTAATGAATTAACCAGTCAACTAGCCCATTTGAAAGATGATTTCATTAAAAAAGAAGTCTTAAGACGAAAACTTCACAATGTAATTCAAGATTTGAAGGGAAATATCAGAGTGTTTTGTAGGGTAAGACCCCCAATTAATGAATTAGAGCAAGAAAGGCTTAAATGTTTGATACAATATCCTGATGAAAATTCCATAGAGATATTTAAAAACGCTAATTCACTAAATAGTAAACAAGAATTTTCGTTTCACTATGTTTTCAATGAGGATTCTACCCAAACTGAATTTTTTGAAGAGTTATCACAGTTTGTGCAATCAGCAATTGATGGATACCACGTCTGTGTTTTTGCTTATGGTCAAACTGGGTCTGGTAAGACCTACACAATGCAGGGTTTAGATATGCCAGAACATATGGGTAAGTTATCTAAAACGTGCTTATATGTCTTTTAAGTTAACCTCATAGTTTTAAAATCATTTATTTTTAAATTCAAACTCAAGTCATCAGGTACGGAATTTTCAACAAGAAATATATACCTTACAACAAGGTTGAACAAGGTATAATAGGAATATGTACATATAAGGCAGAGACTGTGGTATTTCTCTTTGTTATGTGCATATTCTTATTAAATTTTGTTCAGCTCAGCGTGAAGTATTACATTTTCCTGTTGTGTTCCTCAAATAATTGTGTATCAAATCAAATAATTCTGTCTATATTTAAGCAAGGGCAAGGCAAACTACTAAGGCTTTAAAATTTATGAAACAAACATCTAATAAAAGTTTTTCTCAGAATCTGGTTTGAATTTAAAAAAATAGTTTTAGTATAATTTTAAACCTTTTTACTTTCCTATCTGTATACAGATAAGGAAAGTATAGGAATCATGATTTTTTTTCGACCTCCAGTTTTCGACGGAATTTTACGTTTTGGGGTCCCCTGAATCCGTTTTGACTATTTTCGTGATGATGTCTGTGTGTGTCTGTATCCACCATAACTCATGAACCGATACAAAGAATAACACCAAATTTTAAACTTAAGCTTTATTCCGGCGTCCAATGAACTGATTAGATTTTGGGCAGAGTCGGAACATCTGAGGGGTACTTTATAGGTGGTCGTTTTTATATTTTATGGAATATATCTGTTATTTACGTTTGGAGAAGAGAATTCTTTAAATAAAAGTTACTTACAATATCATTATCAATATTTTTTGTTCTATACAAAATTTTCCTAAAATTGACCGTATTCGAGAAATTTGACAAAATGTAAAAAAATATTTTTTGGTAAAAATTGTTCAAATAAAAGTTGTTTGTAATATAATTCTCTATAATTTTTATCCTATACATAATTTCTCTAAAATAGACCGTATTCGAGATATTTGAGAAAATGTGTAAATTTCGAATTTTGAAGAAAACTCAAAAACGAAAGAAGGAAAAAACATTAAATTTTAAACTTAAGTTTTATTTCGGCCTGACGTGAAATGATTAGATTTTGGACAAAGTCGGAACATCTGGGGGGGGGGTACTTTATGGGAGGAAAATTGTTCAAATAAAAGTTACTTCTAATTTTATTATCTATAATTTTTGCTTTATGTCAAATTTTCCAGAAATGGTCCGTATTCGAGAAATTTGACAAAATGTGCAAAATTTAGATTTTTAAGAAAACTGTTAAAACTAAAAGTTGTTTGCGATATCGATCTCTATAATTTTTGTTTTTACATGATTTTTCTAAAATGGACCGTAATGGAAAAATTGGAGGAAAAGTGCTAAAATTAAATTTTTCAATATTTTCGTTTTCAATGAATATCTAGAAAAATGTTTGGAGTTAGATGTATGTGGAAAATGTATATATTTAGTTTATCCTCTAAACATTTATAGAGGTGCTACAATAGGTTGTACAAAATAAGTAGATAGGAATGTCATGTGTTGGGCACATCAGATTTTTATTATTATATTTATAGTTAATACATCAGATGGCAATGCCGATTAGCTGCTTTTAAAATCATAGTACCATTATTGGAAAATTAAATAAACATAATAGATATCAGTTATTTTTAAGCAGTAATATTTTTGTCTTCTTTTAGGAATGATTCCAAGAACTGTAAATTTAATTTTTGAGACGATAGACAACCTTAGCCAATCTAACTGGGAATATGAAGTAAGAGTAAGCTTTTTGGAAATCTACAATGAAAATGTTAAAGATTTATTAGACCGTAACGCGAATCTCGACATTTGTTTCAACGAAGGAAAAGGAACTACTGTAACAAATTTAAAAATTGAATCCATTTATTCATACAAAGACTTTGAAAAGTTCATGAAAATTGCGCAAAAGAATAGAATGGTTGCTGCTACCGACTTTAACGAGCATAGTTCGAGGTCTCATGCTATAACAAAGATATACATAAATGGAAGACATGCGGATTCGAAAGAGTACTATACCGGTTCGGTAAATTTAGTGGATTTGGCCGGGTCTGAATCAGCTAAAACAAGCCATGGCGATAGATTGGTGGAAACCAAGTCTATAAACAAAAGTTTATCAACTCTAGGTAGTGTAATGCTTGCTTTACACAACAAAGATAAACATATACCTTACCGTAACTCTAAATTGACTTATTTGTTGCAATCATGCTTAGGTGGTAATTCTAAAACTATGATGATCGTCAATATTTCGCCGTTTGAAGAAAATTATGGAGAAAGTATTAGCTCTTTACGATTTGCCTCTACTGTTAAGGAAGTAAAAACTAAAATTAAAAGAAATAAAGCTATTATGCCTCTTTCTGCAATAAACACAAGCAATAATAATTAAGTTGATGGAACTGAATATGCAGGTTATTTAGATTTAAAATTAAGGAAATTCGAATTAATGCAGGTGCAAATATTAGTTTATACAGTATGTGCTATAAAGTTGGATACATATGAGAATTTTTTAATATTACGATTTGAAAAAAATGTAGGGCAATCACCTCTGCTTAAAATAGTTCATATAAAAGTTGGCTACTGACGTTCAAAAATGACCTTTGTTAAATATGAAAAAAAGTTATTAAAGAAACTTGTTTCTAATGACATTTTACGTCAAGAAACCGGTTTTGTACGAGATGTTTTGATTTTAAGAAAATTTTAGTTCTTAATATTTTTTGTAACTAACAATTTTGGGAAAAGATTAAAAGGGATGAGAAGACAATTCCATACCCATTTTCTCTAATAACTTTTCATATTTCAGAAAAAAACAATTTTTAAACGATTTTTCCAAAAAAATTGCGAATTTGATAGATAAGTAATGTCAGTAGTCAACTTTGATATGGACAATGATAAGTTTTTAAATAAGCCCTACTTTTTTTTTTTCAATAGTAATATTAAAAAACTAATCTCAAATGGATCCAACTTTATGGCACACACTGTACATGTGTCTCCCATATATCATAGCTTGGGATCTCGTAAAAGGTTAAATATCCAGCTTTGAAGGAGATAATAAAATTGTTTCGTTTTTAGTTTAGGCAGAGCCATTCTCAGGTTAATTATTTTAAATATGCAGGTATGGAAATCTTAATGCAGATCCTCTATTTTGCAATGCGTAAAATAACTGAAGACCGCTGAGCAGCGCATTACCTATTTTGTTGCTTGGCGCACAGTATGTATGACTACCACCTCACTCCCACTTACGGTTTCTAATGGATTTGTCTTATATGGTCCACGTTTAAATTTCCGTACATGTAGACCTGAAATTTAAAGTTGATTTTTGAATAATTTTGTCACCTTTTGTATATTAAACGCTTTATGACATCTAAATGATCTGAATCCTAATGTAGGACAAATTGTATGTATAAGAATTGCTTATAAATAATTTATATAGTCAAGCCAAGAGTTTAATTAAATTGGTTATATGATATTCATATATTCAGTTTAGGTACTCATTTTAATTTTTATTTCATAATCATATTGTGGCATTTTGTACACCCTTTGGAGCTTTAATAAGAGTATTTCATTCTTCTTTGGTATTTGGAGTCTGTTCTGTATATACATATTATATTTTGTTTTATAATTATGACTAATTTTATTGGCGTGTCTGTGCCAATAGGAAAAATTGAGTTTCTTAAATTAGGGTTGCTGTTCTGACTTTGATAAATTAATAAACGTTCCTGAAATGTTTTATGATAGATAGCATAAATAATATTGTTTTTTTCTAATTTGGAGAACATTTCAGGTATAAATGTATCCTTGTAACTCTTAATAATGAGAACACCCACAAATTGGTTTTCATAATTGGACCAAAATTGTTAAAAAAGTTGTGTTCAGTTTGCACTTGTTTATCCAAAAATAGTATAAAAATAGTTATTTATTCTTAAAATTCATATTGAGTGTTTTTAGAGTGTATTACTGTTACTAATGAGTGTATTTTACGATTAAATTGAATGTATTGTACAGTTTATCGTAATTTAATAAATACTAAACCAAAGATAATTAGTTGTTTTTTTTATTTACTAAATAAAAAGTATCATAAATTAATCATGTTCTTCAATGACGGAGATACTATTTAATTTGTACTCTGAACAATCTAAGGCAAATCGTGTTATATACCCCGTTGATAATGGCACAATGCACACGACGTAGAATTTGCCGTGCTGCAAATTTTTTGCAGACGTGCGACATTGAACTAAAATTAACTGCAAATCTACCGTATATTGATTTCGGTACATGCAGCAGAACTGCTATAACGTGCGTCAAATTGTACGCAGAGGCAGTTAAGTATACAAATAAATTTATTAAGAGGAACATAATACCTAATTCTCGGAAAACCAGAAAAGCTTCAAATAGGATAAATTGAACGTTGTAATTTACATTGATACATTCAGTCAAAAAGAGCCACCAAATTGCAACATTGGCCAAAACTGTATACTTATATTGCAGATATAAAAGTAAATAATTTTTCAAAAAATTCCTACAACTAGTCAAATCGAAATTAAGAGCTGAAATTCAGCAGAGGTGTTCACCTTTTTATTAGTGAGGACTGGGTATATGGGTTTTAAAAATACTATTTTTAATACGATTTTAAACGTATTGCTTATTTGTCAAGATACAAATATTTTCTTGTTTGCAATAATTTTTATTTTCTATCAATTAGGGTCTTTAAACGGATTCTTGGTCAACACTTCTTTTACCAATACTAAATAATTTTTCGATATAAATTTCAATCGAGTTTTGCGTATTGAAATTCATACTTTTAAAATTTTATTATGCTCTTGAAAATCAGATAATTCTATTTGACTGATGCGAGAAGTGTTAATAAAAATATTAAAATTAAACCTTCTAAAATATCTTTATAAATAAATAATTAAAAAAAAGTAAAGTAAAAATTGACAATCTGCAAGTTTGTAGGGTGTTCGAACCTCCTTAGGGGCGGATTTGGGTTTAGTGTTGTTGGGGGTAATAAACCACAACAAATATTGCGAATTTGCAGATATTTTTCGGAATACGAAAACTTGATACTTGCATCTGTAAGTCCGCCATATTTGCAGATCTGCAAAGTTGCAGACGTTCTGTAATCTCACCCTTTGGCGATAATTAACTGTCTTCAGTAAGTAACTTTCTTTATTTCTAAATAGGGCTTCCAAATGTTTTCATATATTCATACTTTATATCCGAAATCGGACAAAAATTAATAAATTTTGTAGCCAATCTAATGACTTTGGGTATATTTATAATAGATTGATGTTAAATTTATCTGGTTTCCTGACTTTTCATGTTAGACAATTTGACAACAATGCCTCAAATTATAAAAATTACATGTCACAGCACATATCTATCAAAAAAATATTAATTAATATAACGCTTAGAAAACTCGTGGCATTAGCTGTTTTTCCTGCGACGTTCTCATCGACAGATCGTGTTAAGCACGTGTAAATACATTACTAAAATCAACCCAATTTTTCATGAAAATTCATGCGTAGAAATTTTACATAACCTGCATTGGGTATAATACGTGAACAGATTTACTACATTACGCGACAGGTACGGAATTTTCAAGTGAATCTACGGAATCGATACGACTTCTCGCCTTATTACATAATGCAATTTGAAATTTTTATTTGAGTCTAGGCCGCCCCTGTTTAATGTATGTAAGCGCATATGTAAATATGGCGGGTTGTCTCTGATATGGCAGATACACGATACTTGTTTCTCAACATCATTGGGTTTATGTAAATTAGGCCAGAGACATTAGGCTTATCCTGTCAACGTGGATGTTTTGTTTTGGTTATGGTTATTTTGTAGGTTAGCGGAAATCCGAAGGGCTATTTATTATAAATTAAATGTAACATTCCAACAGTACAGTATTAATTGTATCTTTTAGTAGTATTTATCAATATTTATTTGTATATATAATATATCTATAATGTCGGTTGAAATTAAAACTGAAAAAGTTCACCCAACTGTTTATATTGTATTTTTATCATTGTTATTAGATTTGTTAGCATTTACTATGATCCTGCCTCTTTTGCCTTCATTATTGGATCATTACAAAGCAAATGATGGTACCGGCCTATATCACTGGCTTTCCAACTCGATTCGTGGATTCCAGGTCTTGGTCGGTGCCCCAGAAAAATTCAATTCTGTTTTACTTGGAGGAGTCTTGGGCTCTCTGTTTAGCTTCCTACAATTTTTAGCTGCACCTGTGTTCGGAGGAATGTCCGATGTGATGGGACGAAGGAAAGTTATGATAATATGCCTTGTAAGTACTGGTTCCTAATTGTTTTTTATAATTTATTGTCCTTTATTTTCACAGCTGTTGATTGAAAAATCATATAAAACTAAACTGTATTATTTTTTGACTCATCATTTTAAGTTTTAAATCCATCTGTTAAACATTCATTACTACTAAATGATTTAAAAAACAAAATTCAAACGAATAAGTTGCTTAGGGCCATTTGCACTGCTAGTCATTTTTAAATAGGCTTGAAATTATATTGTTAAAGCAAAAATGCCAGTGTAAGCTTGGCTTATTTCTTAACGACTCCAGAAATGGCCCTTAGTGTACTTCATTTTCAATAGAATATTAAGAAGTCAAGTATTAATATGATTTTTTTGATGTGTATTATGTATTACTTTGCTATAGCTTCCCATTGATTTGAATTTTAAATAGTGTGTTAATTTTTGTTCTATTTTAAATAATGTCTCTATTAGTCTTTCAGTTTTATATATTTGGAAAACAGTTTTAGAAAGTTTTATTATTTATTATATGACAATACACACTCATACTCAGATATTTATCCTATTATTTTAATATTATTACATTTGACAATTGGAATTTATTTCCTTTATTTTCATATTATTCTGAAATTAAAAACAAAACAAATATTTTTTAAATTAGATTATTTTTATTTTATTATTGTAACATTCATTGAAAAGTACTTAGGTACATAAAGCTTATAAAAAAACTACAATCTCAATCCAAGAACAAATGATTGTATGAAATTTAATTTTGTGTTTTAATTCAGTTATATTACCAGCTATTATGACAATTCTAGAATAATCTTTATATATGGTGAGGATTATATGAGGATTAGGCCAAACATACTAATAAATTGTTGTCCCAGAAAAAGATTAATTTGTTTTTATTCCTTTTTGGCAGTAATGTCACAATATATTTAAAAATAATTATCAAAATTGGCATAGGGGTATAACTTTGGCAAAGGAATATTATTTTATTTATTATTTTACATTTTGGTACCACCACATGAGTGATTCGTGATGTGAAATTGGGTCATACCTATTCTTGTGATTATCCATTTTTACACCCTGTATCTCTTTCCACAGCTACATTTTAATAAAGCATGTTTGTTCCAACATATTTTGGTCCAACATATGAGTTAAAATCCAACATAGCTGTGAGTCATCTAATGTTTTACTTTGTTTTTGTTTTGTTTTTCAAAGTAATACATATCTAATAGAAAATTCAAAGGTTTATAAACATCACTAAAGTTTGGGTCTACTAATAATAAGGGAGTATAATTAGACCCTTAGATGGGAAAAAGTGTACAACTGGAAAGAATTTCCTATATATTTCCTTTTTATATTTGTTCTCAAAATAATTGCCATATATGGGAACTTATTGAATATATATTAATATTTATTTATTTGCAATTGTTATTTACTAATAACAATAATACAAAAGTAATATTTCACTGGGAGGCTGGATACCTTTCAGCAGGTGTTTGACGATTTGATAACCTGCATGACTTTGATTAGCTGGGAATATGGCTGTCTCTAGACACCTCTCGGGAACAAGTTAGGGGCCCCTGGATGATGCACAATGGGCCTAATGAGGCCTAAGTGCACCTTACAAATACAGATAGCATTACTTTGTATTATTTCTTAAATAAATATTATTATCATTAAAAATAAAAAACAGAAACCTATTTTTTAGTCTTCTCTTTTGTGAGTTTTGTGTCCTTTAAAGGGCCGTTTATAATTGATCATTTCTTGTTTAATACAGCAGATATTTAATTTGTGATATGAATGCAATTTTGTTTCAGGTGGGAATATCACTGTCATATATAATTTGGGCTCTTTCTAGTAATTTAATAATATTTATTATAGCAAGAGTTTTGGGAGGAATCAGTAAAGGAAATGTGTCTTTAAGCATGGCTATAATTACTGATGTTTCATCTATTCAAACTCGAAATAAAGGAATGGTAAGGATGATCTTGGGGGTGGATCATTATTATTATTATTATTTTTCAATAATTTTTTTTATGGAAACTGGGTTTTAAAACCTTTTATTACTAAAAACAATCGGTTTTGGATAATTGGCTAAACTGATATTGACATTTTTAGGCGTTAGTGGGAATTGCGTTTTCATTAGGTTTTATCATTGGACCATTAATTGGTGCAGTTTTTGCTGTTTGGGCTAAACAAAGATCAGACCAGTGGTTCATTGTACCAGCGTTGTTCGCTTTATTATTATCACTGATTGATTTGGCTTTTTTTGTGTCTTTCTTCAAGGAAAGCTTACCCAAGGTAATGTCACATTTTTTTGCCTGATCTGCCAAATGCAAAGCTGACATTAGATTTTTCTAGGAAAAACGCGCCAAAGATGTAGGAATGACGTTTAAAAAAGTTAGAGAGTTGATAAATATAAAAGATTTATTCCAATTTACCGCAGTTACCGGAGTTCCTGAGCAGAAAAAGAAAAAATTGCAGTTATTAGGATTGGTATATTTTGTCTATTTGCTGATATACAGTGGACTAGAGTTTACTCTTACATTTCTCACACATCACGTCTTCAACTATACAGCCATGCAACAAGGATGGATGTTTTTTGTTATAGGTACTTATACTTATTGCTTAATTAATGTAGATAATTGTCTTTACGGTACATGATACATTTTATATTAATTAAAAGGGTATTAAAATAAGATTTGTAAACAATAAATGCGCAAAAAGTATATGAACCAAATACTATGAGTAATTAAATTAATTTTTTTAGGGCTTGTGATGGCTTTGATACAAGGTTCATATGTTAGACGAATACATCCTAGTCAAACCAAAGTAATTGCAGTTAGAGGGCTGTGGCTGATTATTCCGTCCTTTATTTTTGTAGGCATAGCTTTTGAATTCTTCATATTATACCTTGGATTGTTGTTTTTCTCTGTTTGTAAGTATATTTTTTTTATGTAAAGTTTCAAATTATATAATGTTCGTCAGTGTAGTGATACTTGTACTAATTTGTAGCGTGGTTATAACTGGAGTATTAAGTTGTTTTAGTGCACCTATAGCTGTTGTTTTTTTTCTTAAATTGTAGATAGGTAATTTGGTTTCTAATAATTTGGATAAAAATAATTTTTTAGTTGAGATTAGAATTACACAGCATTGCATCAACAGTCTTAATTTCCCTAGTTAGTTCTACAATCTCAATGTAAATCGGTTAGTAGCTTTTAAAAATTATTTTATAGCAACAGCGATGGTTGTTCCAAGTGTAATGACAATGGCTTCTGAATACGGTACTGAACAACAAAAGGGTACCGTAATGGGCATTTTCCGGTCTTTGGGAGCATTAGCTAGAGCTGTGGGTCCAATTTTTGCCAGCATAGCATTCTGGAGTATTGGATCCAAAATAACCTACATCACAGGATCTATATTATTAATATGGCCAGCATTAACATTAAGTAAACTCAATTAATACTTAATTTAATGATCTCTAGGCGCTGTTAATTTAATTAATTTATATATTTTTACTCATAGTTTTATTTATGGAGATTCCTGGTGATAATTTAAGTCTTCTTAAGTAGGTACTGATTACTATTTTGTTCAAACGTAAAAGCATACTAAAAATATTGTGATGTATGTACTTATCTATACATACAAGATGTACATTGGATCAACATGTTTTTATAGATGGATATCAACATTTTAAATACATTCCTAATCGAATAATTAACAATTAGTTAGTAAAATCTGGAGACCTTTAAAACAAATTGGAACTAAGCATGATTTTCATGAAAAACGAAACTCGAATCATTATACCAATTAAATGGTTAAATAAAATTAGCAAAATTTAGCGTTGACAACCAGTTTCGGCTACAGAGCCATGATCGGGGCTAAATTATTGTTTTTTTTTTTTAATTGATAACTAATGCCAAATTTTGTTAATTTTATTTCACAATTAAATCGATGTATTTATTTTACTCGACCTAAATTTTTATAAAACGACATGTATATTTACGGCAATAAAACATTGTAAATTTGAAATGTAAAAATTGTAGTGGTATGATTTTACTGATTTTTAAATTAACTCACCAGCAATGAGAGTTTTAAAACTGCTTGTAATGTAATATCTGAGACTGAGTAAAACAATGTGATATTTTCAAACTGATGTGATATAAATGTCTACCGTAGAATGACTAATAATAATGACGTTAATTTCAAAATCTATATATAGGCCTTAAAAGTTTTTAGAAACCCCTAAACTAAAAAAAATTACCTCCCGAGGCTGTTTTAAAATCATTTTTGCAAAGGCAATTACCGCGGCTTAAGGAGTTTAGTGTGGACCCAATAATTTAATATTATTTCTGCTTCCAACATTATTTGTTTATAGCTACTTTTTTCCAACTTTGGAGAGATTCTAAAAACTTTTAGTGTGCCACCTGTATACATCAATTTTTTTTTAATAGTCAGACATCTTTAAATGTATAAAAATTTTATTTTACATCACATGAATATTTATAACGTTATGTTTTAGTTAAATGTTTTAAGTTTCTTGACAAACATCACAAAAAATGCTGTATATAAAATGCACTTTTTAAATAATTACTCTAATAAAAAATATCTGAACGTTATTTTGCCGTAATAATGTGTATAGAACAAGAGCAGCACCAGGGGGATTCTCAGTAACATTTAGCATATTTTTTTAAATAAAAGATTCATGGATTATAAAAAAAAAATATGCCCCGCCTCCCCCCCTGGAGCCGCACTTGGTATAGAAATGGTTTGTGTTAATTTACAATAAGATTTTTTAGTAATTATTTCTGGCATTTGGGTCAATGTGCATCATTGTTTTATTGTCTACTCAATTTTAACAGTACTGTTTGATACGTCCTCTTCCATAATTTTAGGATCTTCTAGTTAATTAATAATAGAAAGTTAAGTAAAGGTTCTGAATTCTTAGAAATCTCATGAAAATTCCTCGAGTATTAAATTTATGATAACGGAGAAAATGACAATCTTTATTCGGAAATAAAGCAAACAATATTTTTTTCATTAAAAGTGACAAAGATTTTAACTGTTATTTCCAGAAAAGGCTAAATTAATATATTTTTTTTATCTATTTATAGATTAATTATAAATATTGCATTTAAACTCTTCACGATACATGTATTTAAATGAGATTACAATTATAGAAGCTGCAGGAAAGTTAATTCTTTAAATTTTGTATTAAATACGATTTATATACTGTATTTAAATTTCGGGTTTGAGAAATAGCTGTAAACAGTGTTTATATATTTTTAAAATTAATTTAGGCTCGAAGGGAGATATTTTATATTTTAAATATATATTTTTTATGTCTTAGCTAAAAGCGGACGTTGCATTTGATAAAATTTCCATTTTCTGAGTTGTTAAATAGTTAGATTTATTATGTACTGTAAAACGAATCCTCTGAAATAGGTATACGTTTTATATTTTTTGTTAAATGTTTTACCTCTAATACATCTTTATTTTTTAATTTGTGTTTTATTTATTTAAACCCCCTTACTTAGGGTTAGTACTAGAATGTCACGAAGCAATGAAGGAAGTATCCATCAACAATGTAATCATCTTAAGATGAATCAAAGGTCTCATCATATCGAAAGGTAACCCTCTTGCTGATTCACTAGCCAAGAAGGCAGCGAACCAAATACTTTTTGAACTTTGTCCTTTTATTGGCCTGACAACATTGGTAGTGACAGACCTAATTAAAGAACATTCTCTTGTGAAATTCAGGGAAAGATGTGATGAAACAAAAAACTGCAGAGTTGCCAGGGAGCATTTAAGTTATCCTGACAAAACTACAGCAAACAAATACTTGACTATGACTAGAAAGAATCTGCGACTGATCACAGGTATTCTGACAGATCGTCAACTACGAAAGCATCTCCATATCATGACAGACAGGCAGCCTTTAAAGCACTGAAAAGGATAGAAGTACAATCTAAATCAATATTTGATTGCCAACAATCCCTCCAGGCCTTGATAGAACATAACACGGTCACCCTTGAATGGGTGCCAGGACATGAGGGAGTGTTCGGAAACTAGAAAGCAGACCTCCTAGCAAGGAAGAGAGCGGAAAAAACTCTTATTGGACCAGAACCCACATGGTATCTCATACCAACATGTTAAATGGGTGTTAAAGGAACAAATAAATAGAGAACACCATAGGCTCTGGTTGGAACTTCCTGGACTTGGACAGTCAAAAAGATTCATAGGGGGGCCATCCACGAGCAGACAAAATCAACTGCTAAACCTTAGCAGAAACGAACTCAAGGCCATAATAGGACTCTTTGCGGGACACTTCGGCCTTAGAAGACACCTAAATCTCTTAGGGATATCTGATGACTCCCTATGTAGAATATGTGAGGAGGAGGAGGACGAAACTGCTATTCACGTACTATGCCACTGTCGGAACCTTAAATGGGAACTGGATTGGTACTTGGGGGAACAATATCCGGAACCTGAAGAAATCGCGAAAGCGCCCATCAGACATATTCATGAATTCATCAAGAAAATCAATCTGATGGGATAGAAACTGTGAGGGGTACAATAAGCCTAGAGCTTCAGTACAAGTGGGCTTTGAACCACGTCCTAATTCAGATAGATAGATCTCCATATAATGGGGTTGTCAGAATCCGCACTCTGTTGGGGATACAAACAAGAAGCTGAGACCATCGAGCATATCCTCTACGATTTCCGGATGCTCTCATTAATTAAAAGATTTGTGTTCGGCGAGTATCAGCTAACACCGGCCTATATAAAAGAAGCAACCTCTTGGCAACTACATTCAATCTGCAGGCTGGTTCACGAGCTAGGAGATGCCTATTATCTTATGAGGAGTATAATGAGGCTCAAGTGCCGTGGGGGCAACCTACCCTCTACACGTTACAGATAAAGACATATAGAACCCCTTACCAGAAAAATCGCTTTTATAGAAGAAAATATTGTGAAAAGTTCACGTCTCTGCCATTTTTGAGATATAAAAATTACCCACATTCTCACCACCGTTATTTTTATGGGTGTCTAAATACCGATTTTCATGTTTTTTGGGTTCTTAATTCGGTTTTTCTACTCGTTAAACAAATTGTCCAAACTCCTTTTCATTTTTGAAAAATGGTAGTGTTACTATATTTTAAAAGAAGTTCCAAATTTCGTCATTCCGGTGACGTCCTTTTAATTTTATCTTCTGTCAGGACGTATGGAAGAAAAGACTGTTTTATTGAGAGAACAAATTATAAAAATTGTGGAGATGCCACTACAAATTGAGTTTGTTTCTCGTATATCTCATCACCAGATCTTGAACAAATTTTTAAGGAACTACCTCTGACGTACCTCCTTTCTAACAAAAAAATCGGACAAAGTGGTAAAGAATTATCGCTGAAGATACATAAAAAAATATTCAGACGAATTGAGAATTTCCTCCTTTTTTTGAAATGTTAAAAACAAGTTATAAAAGTACCCCTTCTAACAAAAAAAGAATCATAGAAATCGGACAACGTGGTAAAGAATTATTGCTAAATATACATACAAAATGAAGAGTTTGATGATTCTCACATGGATCCCATTATCAGATATTGACCAAATTTATGTGGGACCACCCCTGATGTACATCTTTTCTCATAAAAAAATTATTTTAGAAATGGACAAAGTGGTAAGAATTATCACTGAACATAAAAAAAATAAAGATTTTTATGATTTTCTCATGGACCCAACTATTAGATCTTGACCAAATTTTTTATGGGATCACTTATGAGTATCCCCTTTTTAACAAAAAGAATCATAAAAATCGAACAATGTAAAGAATTATCACTGAACATACATAAAAAAGTATATATATTTAGACGAATTGAGAACCTTCGTTTGAAGTCTGTTAAAAACAAGGTATAATTTTAAAAAACCGACTCTAAATAGTGTAGATGTTATCACAAATTGAGTTTGCTTATTTTCTCATAGATCCAACTATCAGATCTTAAAAAAATGTAAATGGGACTACCGCCTAGACCCCCTTTCTAACAAAAAAAAATCATAGAAATTGGACGTGGTAAAGAATTATCGCTGAATATACATAAAAAATGAAGAATTTGATAAATTTTCTAACGTATCCCATTTATGAAATTTTGACCAAATTTATATGGGAGCACCCCTGGGTAGCTGTTCTTGAATTCGAAGGATACAAAACCGGTTTTTCCTCTTTATCTGCAACGCACAATTTTTGTATTTTTGTCTCACTCTTTCCTCCAAATTTCTACTTCCTGAGATTCAAGAATCTCACAAAAAAAGAATAATAGAAATTGAACAATGTGATAAAGAATTTTCGCTAAAAATACATAAAACAAAAAAATATTCCGACGAATTGAAAACCTCTTCCTTTTTTAAGTCGGTTAAAAAAACTTATTTATTGGCACCATAAGTACAAAATCGCCAAAACAATTTTTTTTATAATTATTAGAGATGAATAGATGGATTAAAAGAATTGTATGGCTTATTGATAAATATTTTGTGCTATTTTTGCATTACAAGTATGTAGTGTTCTTTTTAATATTGCATTTTGGCATTTTTGACGCGATATGCGAATCGACCATAATCCTAGTCAATCTGTCTTTTATTTTTCTATGATCTAGTTACCCATGAAGATAATTTTTATAGCTGTCATTCTCGCAATTACCAAATTTGGTTTTTTCTCTTTTGATTAGGCGAGTGTCGTGAATTGTAGTGTCGTCAACAATTATTGTGTGTGGTTTCAAATGAAACTCAAGAAAATCTACAGGTAAATCTAACAAATTTACAATAATAGCGAAACTTATAATAATTATCTACTGCTGCCTATTTTTCATGTAGCGATTTATGACCCTTATGACATTGAGAAATATAGCCGTTTAAGGATATTTATAGGTACCTATCAACTTTTATTATAATTTTTTTAATGTAGGTACCTACATACACGTAAAGTTTTTACAAAATTCGTATAATTATTTTTAATTTATTTTACGCAGTAATATATTTCCACGGTAAACTAGATCGTCCCAGTCAGATATCATACATTTGACATTTTTTAGAATATTCTAGAATAATGGCCGATCAAAGATCGGTCAAATAATGTTAAATCGACAAAAAAAATGAAATAACTTCAATTCAAAATGATAAGTATAATACCTATTTGTTTTTGTTCTATAGATCATTTTCATATTAATTTTACCTTTATTAAAATTAAATTGTTATAAGATTGTCATAAAAATATTACATCGACTGAAGGTATGCGACGTTGCCATATCGACAAAAATACTAAAATATCGGGGATTTAATTGAAATGATGGGCTAATATTATTTTTACAAAACAGTGTGATTGGTTGGCTTATTTTTGATATTCTTGTCTTCGGTTTGACACTTTTTAGTCTCTAATATTTACTATAAATATTTCACTCTAATTTTATTTTTACAACTGCTGATGATCTTAATATACACATTTCTAGGTACTTATAAAAAACGCATTTTTTAAATATTCTTTATTAAAATTTAGCACATAACACTAATTTAATGTATACGATTTTTTCTAATCTTGTTTTAAATCTAACTGCAATACTTCATCCCCAATCTGGGCTTCAGAAATTTTCATTTGGTCTGCCAGTTCGCTGTTGTTGAGCCGCAAAATCTGATTCTGCGTCCGAACGAGTTGATGGTCGTAGATTTTTTGTTTTAAGTCAGAAACCTTGTCTGTTTCTGCGACGTCGATAGTGATGATTTTTCCAATAGGAGTTTTTACACGGAGAGAAGACATTCTGAAACAAAAAACTACTACTAAAATAAACATTTGGCTTTGTATAAAAATAAAAATACATATAGGTAGATACCTAAGATTTATAGCCTAATTCAGAGAGTCTTTAAATTTACCCACATGTAAAACCTTAAATATAAACGGGATGAATTTGACGAAAAAGTTTTAATAATTTTGTTATTCATAGGTTATTTGCTTCTAAATAATTTTTTTTGAAATTATTCATTATTTTCACTATTTTCCTTAAACATCTTGTTATTCCCCATTTGAGCTTTTCAAAATATTCATGGAATATTCTTAAATGGACGTTTTTAAGACATCCTGATAATTAAAAATGGACGTTCCAAAGACGTCCACGTTCGTGAAATGGACGTTGTAAGGATGTCCTGAATGTCCAAGCAGGACGTTTTTAGAACGTCCATAGACGTATTTGTGTTATCTGGGAAACGTTATTATAATGAGTGCCCAATAGAGTTGGGCGTTATTTCACGAACTAAAATATTTAATAATTTTATTTTTGGTAAACCAACATTCTTTATATGTTTTTCTATCAATTTCTTAAATGTTTTCCAGAAACATATTAATGAATATTTAATTTATTAGTGATTTGAGGAATCATAACCTTATTTATTTAATTTTAATAAATCGCAGTAACGATGCAAAGTGTGATTAAAAAATCACGGCTTCGCCCAACTCTACTTTTTCTCGAAATTGACGTTGACGTTCATATTTTTAACGATTTACATTTAAAAAGGTTTTATGAATATGGATATAAGTTATTTTGTCAGAATTGGCTACTCGTTTTATTTTTTTATCACACAGGAACTACAGAGGAAGAGTTTCCAGGTAAAGGTATTGTTAGATTAATACAGAAAATTAATTGGTGCTTTTACATTAATCAGTGATATTTTCCATATACATATAAAAGATTATTCATACATAAAACTAGCAACACCTAGATTGAACATCTATAGGCAAATTTCCTTTTTTTACATCTCTTTAGAAAAATTGTATTGTGGTCTTTGGAAAAATAATGTGATTTTTCTCACTTTCCGCATAATCCTTCAAAATTAAACATATAATTGTTTCTTATAGTCCCTCATCTGACTGCAAACAGGTACTATGTCCCGGTGGCATGAGCTGTCGTGTAATTCAAGGTAACCTCTTGCTTATCGATAAATTTTTTTTGCTGGCAATGAAATAATATGCTTCTAGACGTCTCTAACAATAAAAAAAATCACTTTGCAAGTATTTGTTGTCGCCCGGTTTTTCTACTTTCGGTGTAAGTGGCAAAAAATCCTTGCAAAGGGATTTTTTTGTTGTTATAGACGTCAAGAAGCAAATTATTTCAATGCCAGTAAAAAACTAAAAAAATCCATCGATAATCAACATTATTTTGAATTTGACGGGCTACACGACAGTTTCCATCACCTACACCAAATTATAACTAGAATAGAGATATAGGTATAATGCTTGGCATACTATATTATACTATTCACAGTTTAACATATCCCCTCCTTAATCCCCTTTTCAATCAGATTTTTTTCAGAATCAATAGGCTTCTGAGTTAGGATTTATTTCAATATTTCTACCCCCCTTATTCCCTCATTTTAACTTAAATTTTTTTCAGAATCAAGGGGCTTCATGCTCTTGTAGAGCCTTGATTTTTACTAAAAATTTCATGTTAATATCGCTTTTCGTTTTGATTTGATTTATGATTTTTTTTTTAATTTCAATCCCCCTTAACCCCCCACATTTTTAATCAGATTTTTTTCAAAATCATAGGACTTCTTCCTCTTATAGAGCTAAATTTTTACTAAAAATTTAAGTTGATATCATTTTTTGTTTTTGAGTTAGTACTTTTTTAATATTTCAACCCCTCTTGACCCCTATTTTTATTCAGATTTTTTCAAAATCAATAGGCTTTATTCCCTTATATAGCTTGATTTTCCCGTAATTTTCAAATTGATTTCGTTTTTGACTGACAAAAAACGTAACATCGGACGGATGGACGGAACCAAATGCATAATACTCTTCACGAACTGTGTGAAGAGGATAATAAAGTAATAAAAATGTACACTTTGCTATAGAGTGATCCACAAAAAATATTTCTAAAGATACGATCATGCTTCTAGACGTCTCTAACAATAAAAAAAATCACTTTGCAAGTATTTGTTGTCGCCCGGTTTTGCTACTTTCGGTGTAAGTGGCAGAAAATCCTTGCAAAGGGATTTTTTTGTTGTTATAGACGTCTAGAAGCAAATTATTTCAATGCCAGTAAAAAAGTAAAAAAATCCATCGATAATCAACATTATTTTGAATTTGACGGGCTACACGACAATTTCCATCACCTACACCAAATTATAACTAGAATAGAGATATAGGTATAATGCTTGGCATACTATATTATACTATTCACAGTTTAACAGATCCCCTCCTTAATCCCCTTTTCAATCAGATTTTTTTCAGAATCAATAGGCTTCTGAGTTAGGATTTATTTCAATATTTCTACCCCCCTTATTCCCTCATTTTAACTTAAATTTTTTTCAGAATCAAGGGGCTTCATGCTCTTGTAGAGCCTTGATTTTTACTAAAAATTTCATGTTAATATCGCTTTTCGTTTTGATTTGATTTATGATTTTTTTTTTAATTTCAATCCCCCTTAACGCCCCACATTTTTAATCAGATTTTTTTCAAAATCATAGGACTTCTTCCTCTTATAGAGCTAAATTTTTACTAAAAATTTAAGTTGATATCATTTTTTGTTTTTGAGTTAGTACTTTTTTAATATTTCAACCCCTCTTGACCCCTATTTTTATTCAGATTTTTTCAAAATCAATAGGCTTTATTCCCTTATATAGCTTGATTTTCCCGTAATTTTCAAATTGATTTCGTTTTTGACTGACAAAAAACGTAACATCGGACGGATGGACGGAACCAAATGCATAATACTCTTCACGAACTGTGTGAAGAGGATAATAAAGTAATAAAAATGTACACTTTGCTATAGGGTGATCCACAAAAAATATTTCTAAAGATACGATCATGTTTCTGATAACTACGCACCGCTCTAAAATAAATTCAAACTGAACACTTAAAAAGAAGAAGAATTGCACGATCCGACTAACTTTAATTTTGCCAAGGGCCATTTTAGAAACATTTTTTTGAATCGTTTCATATATCTAATACTAATAAAGATGAAATTAGTTATGTAAAAAACACCTCTCATAAAATGAAAGGTAGGTACAATTCCTTACCTCTAAAAAAGCTATATTTAAAAAAAGATCGGATTAACACTTACTTGTATTTGTTTTAAATCAAAAACCAACAAAATCGTACTGATTTGCAATCAACTTTTAACAATAAACTGTCTTCACTCCTACAGACTTTTATATTGTACCTATTGACCGCAAGTCTACCTTGTGGAAAATTGTTTACATATTTTTATTTTTAGATAAAAATTATCTATGCAATTCTAGAAATGTATTTTTGAGAAATATAATATCAAATTATTATGACTAAAATATAAGAGTAATTCAATATTTTTTTATAATTTACCACTTGAAATTATTTTAAGGGGAAGTGAAAAAATCTACTGGATGTTCAAACTATAATGCATGCAGTTTTGAAAGCTATAAACTATTTTTTTTTATCTTTGTTTTTGAATGTGTTCAAAAAAGTTACTGCATGCTCAGACATGGTCAATAGGTAGTCAAACGCATTCCATTTTTAAAACTAAAATTTTAGAATTTCGGGGGTCAGCTTTACACAGCATTTTTCATTCGTTTGCAGTCACGATATGAAAATTAAAAAAAAAAGGAAAACAAAATTTACTTAAAATTAGTTTTTATTTTTTGCAGTTTTTCATAACATTCTCCAATTTTATACATATTATTATCATGAAGTTTAAATTTCAATTTCTGCACCTATTTCCAAATGGAGAACAGCATCCATGACGTTGGCTTCTGAGATAGTTTGAGACTCGTTGTTGAGTGCTTCATTGTTCAACATTAAGTTCTGCCTTTCGGGAAGGATAGCCTGGGCTTCGTAGATCATTTGTTTTAGATCTGCTATCGTTGCTGTGCCAGGAATTTCCAAGACTATTTGTTTATCCATGGGTGTTACTATAGTGACAGGCATGCTGAAAACAGAAAATATTTGAAATAAATTAAACAGCTGCTATTTTTAGAATGACATGGAAAAACATTTTTATTTTTAAAATTACCGTTTAAATTTGGAATATAAACAGGTTAAAAACCTAAAAAAAGCACATACATGTATGTGACAATTTAAAAGATTTTATTTTGTATTTTATTTATTACTTTCCTATCTGTATACAGATAAGGAAAGTATAGGAATCATGATTTTTTTTAAACCTCCAGTTTTCGACGGATTTTTACGTTTTGGGGTCCCCTGAATTCGTTTTGACTATTTTCTGGATGATGTCTCTGTGTGTGTGTGTGTCTGTATCCACCATAACTCATGAACCGATACAAATAAAAACACCAAATTTTAAACTTAGGCTTTATTCCGGCGTCCAATGAACTGACTAGATTTTGGGCAGAGTCAAAACATCTGGGGGGTACTTTATTGGTGGTCATTTTTATATTTTGAGAAATATATGTTATTTATGTTTGGAGAAGAAAATTCTTCAAATAAAAATTACTAATAATATTATTATCAATATTTTTTGTTCCATACAAAATTTTCCTAAAATGGTCGGTATTCGAGAAATTTGAAATGTAAAAAAATAATTTTTTATAAAAAATGTTCAAATAAAATTTGTTTGTAATATAATTCTCTATAATTTTTATCCTATACATAATTTCTCTAAAATGAACCGTATTTGAGATATTTGAGAAAATGTGTAAATTTCGAATTTTGAAGAAAACTCAAAAACAGATAAAGGAAAAAACATTAAATTTTAAACTTAAGTTTTATTTCGGCTTGACGTGAAATGATTAGATTTTGGACAAAGTCGGAACATCTGGGGGGTAATTTATGGAAGGCTGTTTTTATATTTTATGGAATATATCTGTTATTTATGTTTAAAGAAGAAAATTGTTCAAATAAAAATTACTTCTAATATTATTATCTATAATTTTTGTTTTATGCCAAATTTTCCTGAAATGGTCCGTATTCGAGAAATTTGACAAAATGTGCAAAATTCTGATTTTTGAGAAAATTGTTAAACTAAAAGTTGTTTGCGATATATAATTTTTGTTTTTACATGATTTTTATAAAATGGACCGTAATGGAATAATTGGAGGAAAAGTGCTAAATTAAAATTTTTCAGTATTTTCGTTTTCAATGAATATCTATAGAAAAATGTTTCGAGTTAGATGTATGTGGAAAATGTATATATTTAGTTTATCCTCTAAACATTTATAGAGTTGCTACAATAGGTTGTACAAAATAACCGGAAAAAGCCTATAATAACTAGATAAGGAAAGTCATGTGTTAGACAAATCAGATTTTTTTTTTCAGTATTCAATATTGACAGATGTTATAGTCCCTCATATGACTGCAAAAAGTGGCACACGTCGTGTTTTTTGTAGCTAGTACAGAGGCGGAAGTGAACAAGATGTACTATGTTCTGGTGGTGGGAGCTGTCGTGTGATCTGTCAAATTCAAAGTAAAGTTGCTTATCAACGAATTTTTTCCTTTTTTGTTAGCACTTAAATCTATGCTTCTAGAAGTCTATATTATTAAAAATCCCTTTGCAAGCATTTTTTTGTCGTCCGGTGTTGCTGTTTCCGGTGTAGGGTTTTCAGCTACAAGACCTGAAATTTCTGTTTTTCAAACGATATTCGGGGTATAGGTTAAACGCGGTTTTTCTGAACTTAAGATGATATTGCAATAATTTGTTCGCCCCCTATCCTTTAGCTGATATGGAGGGGATGTCACCCCTAAAAATAAGGTTACAATTTTATCGATAAAATATAATGGAAATCTACGATTTCTTCTACCATACAAACCCAATATTTAAATATTTTTTAAAACCATTTTTTCAAAAATTTTCGACCTGAACTGTCATAGTTCGGATGTGGGGGATGCTGGGGCATTTAAAAATAATTTTGGACACATTTAAATAAGACCTGATTTACACCGTCTATGTATAAAATTTTTAACCCCTACCCGGAACCAGACACAAACCCAGGAGTACGAAAAAGTACAGTCCGGGGTTTTATAAATGACTGGATTCGGGAACAACATATCAACTATTGGGGAAGCACCCCAAAACAGGCACATGGAAAAGCCTTCATAGGCAGACCATGTCCCAAAAGAACTGGAGAACTACTCTTAATGAATAGGAACCAGTTGAAAGTGATAACAGGGTTCATGACTGGGCACGCCCCAGTAAAGGGACACTTGAACAAAATTGGCATGTACAATGGGGAACTCATGTGCCGACTATGTCACAAGAAACCAGAAACGGCCAAACACATACTGTGCGAATGCGAAGCTCTAGATCGCAAAAGACAGGCTCTTTTTGGACAACCCCAGGTTGATCCAACAACGTATAGAACCCACTCACCCAAGGATCTGTACAAACTTGTACAAGGTACAAAGGTGATAGAGTGGGTGCTATGAACTAACATGGGGTAAAACACAATAAGCCAATAGGCTTCAGTGTTATTCGGAGACACATAGTCAGACGAGCCCAGGAGAGAAGAAAAAAAAAACCCCTACCATCCCCTAGAGGGCGATCGAGGGGTTGCATCTCCAAAAATTAAGTTATTTTTTTGGGGATGCCACCTTTCCATCTTCCCCTAAGAGACGGCGGGGGTAAGTTTTTTAGACAGGAACGTTGTAAATCAGGTCTGTTATAAATCTGACAAAAAATAGATTTTTATCTCCTCTGCCAGGTACCGTAAGTACTTGTACCAATATTGTATGTTTATACAAGAACATATTATACGGTTACATGGAGTGATCTACAAAAAATGTACCTAAAGTAGGCACTGGAAAAATTCACGCATGTCGGAGATTACAGTTCTTATTTTTAAGTATCAGTTTAGATTTAATTCAAAGCCGTACATAGTTGTCATCGATATGACTCTCATCTATCTTTGTCAGTTTGTAAGATTTGCATCCATGAGACTCGTTATAGAATTATAAAAATTGGATTGTTTCCAAAAATAAATATTAAAAGATTTAATAAAAAAAACGTAACAATACAATGTTAATTATATACTTTTATATAATTAATAGAATATTATTGGATTAAAAACATTACTTACTTGATTATATAATATGACAAAGAATTATTTTCTGACTAGTTAACACCTCGCCTAAATGCAGTAAACTGTGGTCCAATTAGTAAAATCTTGGCTTTAAATATCTTTGAACCTTCCTCCGGATCTCTTATTTTTAAAAATCTTGTTTATACATTTCGTTTTTTTGATAAGCGATAACAGAAAAATATCGTTAATCAGGTTGATTAAGATTCATGAAGACGCTTAGTGGAACTTTTAGGAATGAAGAAAGTTATTTATATTTAATTTAGGTTTTACCAATTTACATAGGTTGTAAAACAAATTTAAAAGTCTGATGATCTTGATGATGCGGTACAGTATAATCAAAGAGGCAGTATGCAGTAGAACACCAATTCAAATTCTAACCAGAGAAGCAAGCAACAAAATACAGCTGCCTATAAATGTTTTTTACAAAAAAGTATAAGCGAGGAACAGATTGCAAATAATTCGCAAACTTGTAGATAAAACTATCCATACAGATTTTCACGTCAACTAAAAGGAGAATTACAAGACATTCGTAATTAAACCACTGAAGACTATAACTAGAGGACTATTCAGATTAGTAAAACCAGTTAAACAAGTACCTCCATTAAGATAGCAAAAAACAACTATCTTCGTTGAACGGTTAGCAGAAAATTTATTCAGCCTAACCCTAATAACAATGATGAATTTGTTCAAAACATCTTCTTCTGTGGAAGTAAAAAGAGACATTAGATGTGTAATGTACACAAAGTACCTGGATTCGACCATATTAATTAAGAACTTACCTAATAAAGCCTTAACAACTATTTACAACAATATGCTAAAACAGTTACTTCCCTGTAAGTTGGAATTTCTCATAAATTATTCTAAAACTTAAACCTTCTTCGTATCGGCCAATTATTAGTCTGTTGCCCCTGTTGTCCAAAATATTTTAAAAATTACTATTAAAAAAATTTGAAACTGACACAAACATAGTTATTCTCCCAAATCATGAGTTTGGATTTCCCGAAAAACACAATTCAACTGTGTCAAAAAATTGCTAATCAGATTAAAAGTATTGAAAAAAATCTGAACTGCAGCTTTTGTCGATATAGAACAAGCCTTCGATGAAATTTGACATAAAGGTCTCTATAAATTGAAAATTTCAGTCCCTACATAT